CTCTGCAACATGAACAATCTAGTTTCAAAGAACAGAAACTATAGGGAAATAATTGCTTCGGAGAATGGGGATGATGACAGCGTATGCAAATTAAAAATATAATTAGTCCGTCAGGTCAGTTAGGTAATGAAAAAATATTGGACACGTATTTTTTTTATTTTGTCGTATAAGAAAACAATACTTAGATAAAACGAGTCAAATTTTAGGAGTAGGAGCGAGCTACGTCACACGATATTTTGAATTAATATATCGTTGACAGTATTGGGTTCCGTTAGAAAATAAAAAATACGGGTCTAATGTTTTTATATAATCTACCAGACGGACATTGAAATAAAAAAATTTCATCTACCCTATGGTCACTTATAGAGATGTGAGGTGACTTCTGAAGTAGCGAACACTCTGTTTCTAACAGATCTGTACTCGAACAGATAATATTCATATATCTTATCTGCACTTAATTTAGCAATCCTTACTAATATTTCGAGCACTTTACTGTAACAGAAACACTACCCGTTGCAGTAATAAAACCAAGAAACCACGTGACCCGATTCATTCATACCATCTCTATTTCTACAATTCGAAACATAAATCTCAAGTCAATAATGAACTGAAAACTTTCCAAACTACATCCAAAGGTCAGCTACTTCAAATGGCTTCACAATTAATAATCCTCATAGTTAAGCTGTCAGTTGGCACGCTACAAAAATAACTAGTTCTACGTACAGTAAATAATACTTGTGTACCTTCGGAAGTGAAACATTCAAGTTGTAACACAAATTCTGCATACAAGTCTGAGAACCGCTAGAGTATTCTGTAACTAGCATTCGAAAGATCGCGGCTCGATCGCTGTCCGCCTTGTCATTCGTTGTGAGAATAATCTCGATTGCTTTGGTGGCCAAGTGCTCGCAAGTGCCACTGCCGGGCAAGGGGTCTGTTTTCCCAGGTCAGGCCAAGTACTTACTACTGGGATTTTAAAAAACATTTCAGTAGTAGCACGGAGTCTGAAATTGTGCCCAATATATGGCTTACCCCCTATTACATGGGACTCATAACATAAATAGTGAAAAGTAGGTGTTACTCTGCCTACAAAAGGCTGGATGTTATGTTATGCAATGGCGAGCGAGAATGCGATCGAGCTCACTTCGGAAATTCGAATTGATAGTTACAGAATAGCCTCCGCTGAACTGTATGTGTGTCTCCTGTCTCTCTCGCAAACGTAAGTAACTTCATGCAAGTTATGCAGTCGATTTGGGAAGTGTCTCCCGTCTATACGCGACTTCACATCGAACTACACATAACCAGTCTATCTTGATCTCCCTTTATATAACTTCCCGCACATTCTACAGTCAGTTTAAACTGGTTTTGCATATATTGATGTGTTGCCGTGTGTACGAACATAGAAACCACTCACCAAGTATTGTAGTTGTATAGATTTGTATAGATAGACGGTCTTGTCTTGCATTATTAGTTAAGGTTCTCGATTTGGATATTAATGGAATACAATTGAATGTATGTGGATGCTGTGGAGTTAATTCTGGAAGGAGGATAGCGAAGCATGTTAAGTTTCAATTAGTCTAATAACCCGGCAATCAGCAGTAGGTATCCTTCTTTATGAAATGTAATAACATATGTTGCACTTAATCAACTTGATCTTAATTAGAAGTGAATAAAGAGCACCTTAAAATACGAGTAAACACTAGTTTATACTTACAGCTACTAGCTACGCATAAAAAACATCACGATTGTATCGTCATAATAACGATGGGTACTTATTATTTTTTCCATACGACACGCTGGTTCCGGAATAGGAAAAACGATGAACGAAAAGTCTCATCAACAGGTCGGAAAAGTCCGCCTGCGAACCGTTTTCCGTAAAGTTTGCAAACGAGTTAGGAGAGGATTATCACATTCTTTGCGAGCACTATAGCCTTGTATTACAGGCTCATATTGGTTTTTACTTTATACTTTTTTTTTTAAGAGGGGATAATCATCGAATGACTGCTCCCGCCTGGGTGAGGCGGGTGGGAGTGTCAGACTCTTACTGACTAAAAACCACCCCGTTCCTTCTCCTGCACGTCGAGCCGGAGCCCCGGTAACCCGTTAGGTTCTCCGCGACTTTACTTTATACTTAGTACTTATTTTTAATGTCTGTTTTATTCATATCTAATGAAATTTCTTTTTATCCTTTTTTTCTGGGATAAACCGGTAAACGAGCAGACGGATCACCTACATATTTTAATTATAATGCTTCTCTTGAATCACTCTATATATTAAAAAACCGCATCAAAATCTGTTGCGTAGTTTCAGAGATCTTTCCTAGCATACTTAGGAACAGATACCTACACATATCCATTTTCGCTGACCTTACATTTATTTACTTATAACCCAAAGGTTGCCTGGGAGAAAATGCCATTTGGCGTTAAGTCCGCCTTATGTACCTTATTTTGTGTGCATTAAAGTGTAAATAAATAAATAGCGGAAAGCCAATTCGATTTATACTTACTACATACATATTTAGTGATTTAACCGCACTTGTGCATTTTTTTTTAAGGAGTTGGAGGCAAACGATCAGACGGATCACCTGATGGTAAGCGATTAGCGCCACCCATGGACACCCGCAACACCAGAGGGGTGAAATACTGCCTCGATCTGTTGAGCACACCAAGCTTCCTCGAGGCTAATTTGGCTTTACCCATTTTTGTAAGGTGTTTTAAATAAATAGTAAACTAAGGTGTAGTAGTGTATAACCTAAAAACTACTTAAACCTAAGTTTCGCTAAGTTTCTTTATACAGAAAGATATAAATTTTGTACGTGCGGCTATTTCGTTTGTGGAAAGTCTTTAATGTCCCGTGGAATCGTTTTTATGGTGTTTACTTTGATCAGAGAACAGCATCCGAACGTCTTTTACGACGCAATAACTTTGAATTCGACACAAAATTTGAAGTTCTTAGAACATTATATCTAGTACGTAGTATGGTAATTATAATAAATTCGCAGTAAAAAGCATTGCATTATATTTTGATTTATGATGTTCTTAAACTGATACATTTCTATGGTCGGTCAATTTATAGTGTGATGTCTTTACTTGATTTGGGTACTTGATATTTAAGTAAGTAGTAAGTACCTACTTGATATTAAAACAGGGAATGTATAGCTAGGTAATAATACTGAAATACTGATTGATTGGTCGAAGTGCGACTACTTAACAAGGGTCTTCCTGAATTATATAGGTAAAGTAATAATTAATATTGAGCTTTTTAGTTTACGACAATAGTACCTAACTCAGTAATTCAGTAGATAAATAGGGGCATGAGGACTGCGAAAGGTTATAATATATTTGTGTAGTAAGCACCACGCTTGCTCATTGTGGGTTGGTTTCGTCACGATGTTTTCCTTTACTGTTTGTCAGTGGTGTCTTCATAATTAAGAGAGTCACATTGGTACTTGACGTTGGTAGGTTTCGAACCCATATCCTCATGCATGAGAAGTGGAGTTAAACCTCCGAGCTACCACGACATTTAAAAGTAGTCATGTTAAAATGTTATGTAGGTAAGTACTTCGTATATTTGTTGAGAAATTCACCTGTTTTACATACAAAGTAAATGAGTATACGTAGGTACAGAACAGGAGTAACTCTCCAAGCACCATAAAGCTCCTTTAAAGAATTTCATTAGAGATGTAATCCCCTTTTACTAAGGGCGGCTATGGGGTTAATTAGAGAACGCGATATTTCATGCGCGCCATTTTTTTAACCATCGCGCTTTTATTTCCTGTTCTGGAATTGTCCAAGGTGCTATGCCATAAGATAGGTAGACGTACCTACACCTATAAAACCTTTATTTCGATGATGTCAATTAGACCTTAACATAGAAATAATTTGTGATTTGTCTCCTAGTTTTGTTTTCAGAAGGTATCCAGAAGGTCTCTAAGCAATAAAAATATACTTATTTTACAACCTAAAGATTTTTTATGGAATAAGCCGGTAAACGAGCAGACGAATCACCTGATGGTAAGCAATCAGCGCCGCCCATGGACACCCAAAACACCAGAGGTGTTCAAAGTGCTTTAACGGCCTTTTGGGGATTAGGAATTTGAGGATTTAGGGATTGGGGGCCTGGGGAGAAGGGTAATTTGGCATCAATTTGGGGGGGTTATTCATTATTTTTTATTTTTTTATTTATTTATTTATTGAATTAGGGTCTCCAACAGGCCTCCACCACACACGCCCAAGAATAAAAAAAATAAAAGCTATGTGCTTCCTCAATTATAGGAGGCCACAGCATGCAAAAAACAAAAATATACATAAAACTGTCAATAAAAAATAAAAATCAAAATTAAATTAAATTAAAAGCTCAGAACAAATCACAACTGTAACTTAAAACAATATACAATGTCAAAAATATGGCAAAAATAAAAGTTTTTCGAAAACTGTAATTAATCTGTTTCATTTATACTTATAATCATAACCAGAGGGTAAACAATAGTTAAGCACTCATCAAACTTTGTTGGTAAAATCACCTTTGATTGATCATTGTTGTAAATTTTATAAATTCGTTTAATATGTCAGTGCTGCCATCTATTAGAGTGTAAAGATATTCCGACCGTAGCAGTTGCTTATTTATTGTTGAGTGAAGTCAGTCAGTCAATTTATGTACAATTTTTTTAGCGTAATCGTTTTGATTAATACTTATACTTTATTGGTTTTAAATCAGCCATTGCGAATAAATATTGATCTATGCTATTAAACGAACTAAACGCATTTAACTTAGACAGTGTCAAAAGCAAAACAGCAGACAGAACTGTCAACTGTCACTGCCAGCTGTAACCTGCGAGAGTTGTGTTTGTTTAGGTTATGTTCCTGTTTATTGTTGCTAAAAGTTAAAAATAAATATAAATAAACTATTCTTAAGTGTTATTGATGAATAAAAAATAAACTATACATAAATGGAAGACTCTGAAAGTGATAAAAGGCCACAATTCGGTAACCGATATCTGGAAAATGCTGACGAAGTGTTCAAACATAACGCGTGGTACCGTATTTACTTACTTGGTTAGATTTTGTAAGAACTCTCGATGTGATAAGAGTATAAATGTAACAGAATTGGAGAAAACTAGATATAGGAAAAAGCCTGCTGGTGGTGGCCGATATTTGAATGATTCGAAGCACATTTATCTTTTTAATGCCTGGTACTCATCACAAGCACTACTTACATTCAGCCTAATTCTAACTATAATTTGATTGTAAAACCTCTTTGGTGACAGGGACAATGTGGACTGGGATGATGAGCAAGAAAAGGTTGCAAAAGAAAAAGTTGAGCAGAATTCCCAGATAACATTTTCTGAAGACCACTTGAAGTCATTAGAAGATGATGCTGATAAGCATTGGGATGCTTTTTATGATATACATCAAAACAGGTATGTGGCACTTTTAACCCTTTAAGTACCTGATGGTACTTAACCGCAACCGATTGTTCTTTAATTGTGTCTATAATGATTTATAGACACAATTTAAATAGCACTGCTTAATCAATTGTTTGGTTTTGTTGAATTCAACACTTATTTGGATTTATATTCTAAACTAAGACTTATTCACTCGATCAGACCAGGTCACCTTAATTAATTTTTGACGTTGTCAACAATTATTTTAATAGGTATTTAAATTTAAAAACACATAATCAAAACTAATATTCCCATAACAATTTTACAGATTCTTCAAGGACCGCCATTGGCTGTTCACTGAGTTCCCTGAACTAGCTCCAGATAACACATCAGCTCCAGTAAGAGTATATCCTGATGGTGAAAATAATACCACACATATAACGGAACAGACAAAAAGTGACACAAAGAGGTTTATATTCGAAATAGGTTGTGGAGTTGGCAACACCATATTTCCTATACTACAGTACAGTCGTGACCCAAACCTCTTTATTTATGGTTGTGATTTTTCCTCAAAAGCCATAGATATTATGCAACAAAGTGAGTTGTATGAAACAAGTAGGTGCAATGTGTTTGTTCTGGATGCAACACTGGATAAATGGGATGTGCCTTTTGAAGAAAATTCTATTGATATCATTGTTTTGATATTTGTTTTGTCTGCTATTGATCCTGCAAAGTAAGTGTACATAATTGTGGCTTAACTACTTGATATCTATGAAAATGGTAACATTAACTGTTAATAAAAGACGGCCACGTTGGCCGAGTGGTCGCAAGTGCGACTGCCAGGCAAGGGGTCTCGGGTTCGATTCCCGGGTCGGGCAAAGTATTACTAGGTTTAAGAAAATCTCAGTAGTAGCACGGACTCTGGAATTGTGCCTGGTATATGGCAATAGGCTCACCCCCTATTGCATGGGACCCATCACATAAATAGTGAAAAGTGGGTGTTACATTGTGCAGTGGCATAATGTGCACCTCTGCCTACCCCTTCGGGGATAAAAGGCATGATGTTATGTTACGTTATGTTTGTTACTAAAATACCTTCACTTTCATTTTCAGAATGAGTACCGTAATCAACAATATGTACAAATACTTAAAGCCTGGAGGCTTGGTAGTATTCCGTGATTATGGTCGCTATGACTTGGCACAGCTTCGTTTCAAGAAGGGCAGATGTATATCTGATAACTTCTATGCTCGTGGTGACAACACTAGAGTGTACTTTTTCACACAAGAAGAAATAACACAATTATTCCAAGATGCTGGATTTAAAGAAGAACAAAATCTAATAGACAGGAGGCTTCAAGTAAACAGAGGAAAAATGCTAAAAATGTACAGAGTATGGATACAAGGGAAATATAGAAAGCCTTTATAACAGTTACAATATTTATTTGTTATATAAATACAAGAGTATATGATAACAAAATGATTAAAACTTCAATAATGGAATACTTTACAAAATGTTACTGAAATAACGATTATATTTGAACACCAGTGCTTTTGCACTTCAATTATAGTAATAATAGTACAAACTGCAAGCAATATAAGAATATAACTATAACTAAATATACTATATATCTTAAAGCCCACAGTGTAAGTGAATATTTTTAATATATCTTATTCCTACTTCTATAAATAATAAATCTGAAAAATACAATTCATGAAAAGAAGACAACAATAAGCTCGGAGGAATGTAACAGCTTGTCTAGATGCTTTAATTATTAAACCTCAAAATGAATACCTTTTTTTAATCAAACTGTCTTTAGTCCGCTTTCCTCTGTCTTTCCTCTGTTCAGCAAATAAATACATTTGATTTGATTTTGATTTGATTTACATTACATTTCCGTTAACTTTGGAACGGGACAAAAAGTATTTACTTAATAGATTGATAATTCGGATATTACTGCATTAACTATAATTTATAAAAGTGAAATAAATTACTTAACACTCCTAAATCTAAAGTTATAAGGCTCAAGAAACATATTACTGACTTTTGTCACAACTTTTATCGGTGATCCTTCCCACGTTACTTCAAACTCATCAAACAGCTTTTTCATTAGAGTTTCAATCTCTAATTCAGCAATTCTACGTCCAATGCAACTTCGGATACCGAAACCGAATGGTAAAGTCACAATAGCAGGTGCATTCCCATAGTAAATAGGATCAGATTTGTCTGCCAACCATCTCTCGGGGAGAAACTCTTTGGGCCTTGGATAATATTTTTCCAAACCTGACAAGTATTCATTTGGGGCTATTACATCGACCTGAAAAATAAGACATGGCTTTTAGTATATCTCCATAATTTACCTCGTCATCATACTGATTCCATCTGCTGAACCCAAGCAACTCTAATAGTGAACATAGCCCTGCTGAGCTTCGTTTTTCTTCAGATCCAACCACTACTAGCCACTTTGCAGTTACACTCTTACAAATCCTGGCTACGATAGAATAGAGGAAGTTTTCGTTATATAACTTTTATTTTTATTAAAATACGGTTTATAACTAAACTAGCTAATTCCGCGCGGTTTCACACGCTCTGCTCAGCTCTTATTGGTCGTAGCGTGATGTTTTATAGCCTATAGCCATCCTCGATAAATACGCTATCCAACACAAAAAAAAATATTCCAATCAGACTTGTAGTTACGGACATTAGCGCGTTCAAACTAAAAAACAAACTCTTCAGCTTTATATCTTAATATATATATAAATCTCGTGTCACAATGTTTGTCCTCAATGGACTCCTAAACCACTTAACCGATTATAATAAAATTCGCACACCATGTGCAGTTCGATCCAACTTGAGAGATAGGATAGTCTATTTTTCATTAGGGTACAGTAGAATAGGGTAGAGAAGGGTAGAGTGGGATAGAGTAGGTTAGAATATTACGCGATACGAAGTTCACCGGGTCAGCTAGTAATAGTATAAGATTCTTAACTCACCCCAGCTGGAATATGATAACCAGCCACAAAGTGATCTCTATCTGTCCTCCTCAAATTAGCCGGGATGACATGCCGCATTCTAAGGGCTTCCTTCAAACAGGCTCGAAGATATCGTTTATGTGGGTCAGGTGAACGAATTTCTTCTCTAAGTCTCTGTTGTTTTTCCGGATTTGTCGCTAGATTGTAAATTACACTGATTGCTGTAAAAGCAACCTGGAAACAAAGGTTCTAATTAGACCTAGATGATTTATGGTTGAATTGAGAATGCTGTCAGTGCCGGTCCTGGAAACATTTTTAGATGGTGCGACGATTAAAAATAGCGCCCCTTCAGGTAAATAGAAATAATTAAGCAGATGCTTTACTTTCCACCAGAAAAAGCAGAAGAATCATATAGACTGCCTCGTTGGCCGAGTAGTTGCAATTGCGACTGTCAGGCAAGGCATCTCGGGTTCGATTCCCGCGTCGGGCAAAGTATTACCTACTGGGTTTTAAAAAATCTCAGTAGTAGGTAGCACGGAGTCTGGAATTGAGCCCGGTATATTGCAATATGCTCACCCCCTATTGTATGGGACTCATAACATAAATAGTGAAAAGTGCAGTGTGTAAGTGTTACATAGTACAGTGGCATTAAGTACCATAATGTGTTCCTCTGCCTATCCCTTCGGGGATAAAAGGTGTGATGTTATATTATGCAATACCCCTGCACACGTATCGAAATGTGTCCTATAAAAATCGAAAGGCTTCCAAGCTTTACAAGCGTATCATCGTAATAAACGGAATGCTGTGCATCAAAACTATCATATTCATATCGAAATCAATCAGAAATTGGCGATCCTATTATAGCAAATCGTCCTGGGTTATAAAAAGGTAAGACCCTTATTATTAGACACCACTAACAAACGGTGAAGGAAAAACATCGTGAGGAAACCTGGACTTATAATTTCTAATTATGAGTTTGAAATCGCCAATCCGCATTGAGCAAGCGTGGTGATTAATGCTCTAACCTTCTCCGTGTGAGAAGAGGCTTTGCACAGCAGTGGGCATTTATATATGGCTGTTGATGATGATGATGATGATGATGAAGACCCTTATTACACAACAGTAAATTAATATTTTTCTTGAAGAACTCACCGTATCAATACCAGCAAACAGCATTTCATTAGCCATCAAGATGGCAACCTTCTCATCAATAGCTAATAGTCTTTCGACTATACTCTTCTCCTCTTCGGGAATGTCATGTCCTCTAGCGTTAATTCGCTTTCTTGCCTCTTCAATGTACTTTGTACTTATTCTGAAAGTAAGTTAAACAACTTTGATTATTTAGAAATTAGCCAAAAGTAATAAAGGGGACTATAAAAAAGTATGGGTCTCGGGTTCGATTACCGAGTCGAGCAAAGTATTACTGGGTTTTAAAGAAAAATCTCAGTAGTAGCACGAAATCTGGAAATGTGCTCGGTATATAGCAATAGGCTCACCCCCTATTACATGGGAGTCATAACGTAAATAGTGATGACAAGTGGGTTTTACATTGTACAGTGGCATTATGTGCCGTAATGTGCACCTCTGTCTGCTTCAAGGATAAAAGGCGTGATGTTATGTTATAAAAAAGTATTTTACTTACTCCCATTGCTTGTCATATGTGCTGATAATCTTTTTATAAGCAGGTGTAGCGAAGTATTTCCACACACTGGGAAGAAATTCTAATTGAAAGACGTATTCGATTATATCCTTGCTACATTGCAGCAGTGTAAATCCTGGGTGGTCCTTTGTGACTTCATCTCCGAGGCAACCCAATCTAGACCCCAAAGCCACGTAGGCTATTGATTCTAACGACCATTTCGTAATTTCAAGGTCTAAGTTCTTCGCCAGATATTGAGTGTCATCTTTGTATCGCCTTATCCTTTGGAATTTGTACTTAGTCAGTATAAATAAGTAAAGATACAAGATATAGATAGATACTTGAAATCTTTTTACCTCTGCACTAAATCTTGAGCGATCTCACCAAGCGGTGGTGCATAAACTTTCACCAATTTCAATTTTAACAAAGCGGGATTGACTTTTGTACGAAAATCGCGCCACTTCTCCCCTTGTCTGCAAAACTTAATCATTAATATAAAACCATACTTATCCTTTAAGAAAATATCAACAAATTATAATTTATATTAGGAAATTACGCGGTTGTTAGTCCGTATACTCCATCCAGAGATCCTTTTTTGATAACTTCTCTATAATACTCAAGAGTTTGAAAGCCTGGTCGTAATGGATTTGCTTCCTGACTCCTGTAGACCTGGGAAATCAGTATTTTTTTAGTTACGAACACCTAGTAAAAATAGATAGTTCTTAATCATCCTATAAAGTGCCCACCTGATCAATGAGTTCTGGTTCATACAAAATAACAAAGTCGGCTCTAGAAAACACCCCTTGCAGTCTTACTATAGGCCCATACTTTTCATGCAAGGTAGACATCAAGTCAAATATATTTACTCCTGGTCCGAATTGTCCTGAAAATTAAAAAAACTTAAAAAATATTTTAATTAAATCAAATAACTTGTCACAAACACTCATTAACAAAATACATTTTTGTTAATGAGTGTTTTGTATAGTAAACGTTTATTTTAAAATAGCATGCATCTTAATTCGGATTTGAGTCGTTAATTACTTATTTATCTATGATATTTAAAAAATACCTAAGCACCTGCTACATCTTTTATACCTCCTAAATATTTTTTCCATATCTCTGAACCCCTTATGGAAAAAATATTTAATCGCATTATGAGACGAGATATTAAGTATTATTCCCAATTTAAAATATTTTTTGTAATTCAACCAGCAGACCTGAAGATTACGGATTACGAAATTAACTAAGTATGCATAATCATGCTCGTTGTAATTTTTAAATTAACAAATAAGTACTCACCAATCACAGGTAAGAAATGATGTATAGGACCAAGAATCGGCAACGAGGACAGTCCCGGTATGGACGCGTATGGTTTAACTTGCGCAGGCGGTGCCGAAGAATAACTTCGTCGAACATTTCTAAAATTAAATTTATTTTTAAAAATTAATCTAAACATCGTCACAAGTGCCATTTCTTATAGAAATTTTGGTTTCGATTCTTAAGATGACCAAGTATTTTTTTCAGAAATAATATTTCTGAAAAAATTATATAATTATTAACTAATTATGTGTATCAAATAGATGAAATAGAATTGTAATACTTTGACTTTGCAAAGTGTGCAGCTCATCCATACGTGATTAGATTGCAATGAAAACACTTAAAACGTGATACTCGAACCAAAATTATGATTAAACGATGCTATTTTTATACTTACTGAAAGGACGAATGAGATCTGATGAAAAACAAAGTATAACACTCACTCAATGCTCTATTTCTCATTATCATTGTTTAATACTATAATTTGTGTGTAAATTCACAGAATAACAAACTGACCCGATGTAAATAGTGGAGCTGTGTACTACAGAATTCGAATTGACCCTGAAAATGATAAGTTTGACCTTGATTCGTTAGATAGGTTTGTCTAATATGAACGAAACTATAAAATTGAAGCATAGGCAGGTATTGTTTGTTCTACCTTCTGCTAGGTTACTTTCAACTTTCATTCACAATAAAAAAATTGGTTTTTTATATCAGTGCACCGCTAATTCACTATTACAATCACTTAAAGAATAGTTATGATTACATACATATTTAATACTTCCTTTACATTTTTAATAATTTTTTCCCACTACACATATTGCCAATTTTTGTAACTAATACTAAAAGAGGGTAGTTTTGCCGTCATTGATCATGTCATTTTAGGTTTACACAGTGGACGAAACAGTTTTTGATGGTTACTTAAAATGAACGCAGTGAAATAATTATTTGAGCTGTCAACACTATAAGCATAGTGTTGGACAACGATCAATCATAGGGAATATCGATATTTGGCTTCACTGTAGTTTATCCATTATATTTTCCGCAAAAAGTGAATGAAGAAGAAAAATTGTTTAATTATTTTATTTACTTCCATTACTTATATTACGCAAGTAAGTATGAACGGTAAATTCCTAATTAAAAAACTAACTAGCTCTTAGATTTTATGTAGATTCTTGAGAATTACGTCTAACAATGTGTAAATTACTTTAAAACTTACATTTCAATAAAAAGGATAAGAATACGAACAGTTCTAAAAATGTTATCCAGTTTGACAATTTCTCGATAAGTATAAAATCGACTGTACTCGATAATCGATATCTATGGCAACGGTACAACATTACTGTTTGACAGTTCAAACCTTCAAACAAAATGTTTAGGTGATGGTGAGGTTAATGGTCGATACAAAATAGTTTAGATAAATATTTGGGTAGGGATTTACATCCAAATATGAATAGGTCAACAATAAATCATCAAAACGCATTCTCAAAATAGTGCTATGCTTATTCTTCTTACGATTATGTTTAACTGATGCAAAGTCTATTGTAATGAAGTTTCTTTGTCATGAGAATAGTTTCGTTATAACACTATCGATCGATTACGAAAGAGCTTTTAAGTTTAACAGTGTTAAAAATATTTGTGGCTTATAATAATTTAAGGGAATCATTTATTAAATAAGTATAGATGTGTTGAGTGGACTGTATATAAAATTAATGAGTGTGCGTGAATGTGAAGTTGCTAACGTGTTAATAAAATATGTGTTTACGTTCGCTTTTCGTTGTATTCTCGCGTTCAATTTACTTAAAAAAGTCATAAAGCTAGCTAGTGCCGTCGCGTGTAATATGAGATACGTAGTGTGAGCCTGAGGCATATCGCAATTTGTTCCTGATATCACGTCCATGTATTGTTGCTCCTTCCTGTAAGTATAATCATAATTTACGATAATAACACTCTGTATGTTATTCAGCTATATATTACATATGTAATAAAAGTATTAATCACAGTAATAACAAATAATTTATGATGTAACAGTCTACAATTCTACATTGTGCTGTTTATGTTTTGTTTTCGAAACTGCACTTTGCAACAGTCACGATTTTGCACTACACTATAATAACATAACTGAAAGGAATTTGGTAAGGTCAATGAACTCTCTGTGATTGTGTGGGTGTGTGTTTTATTTTTACTGGCTTATTTAAGAGATATCACCTTATCTTTATCTTGGAGGTGAGTTTCATCATTTGTAAATATAATATAACCCACTTTGGTACAATGTAGCTAGCACATGAATTGTTTACATTTCAACCCTGATAATCTTGATTTAAAGTTCATTTCTGAACAAATTGCATTCTAATGTTCTGTAATGATTCTAAATGTAATTTATTCATGGTATTAATAAATGCAAATTAGTTCCTAATTTATTATGGTTATGACATCCATGATTTATAAATCAGCTGATTATTACATTGAGTTTTTAAATGAAAGTAGGTTCATTATTAATCTTTTTCACGTAAGTTAAACATATTTAACTAAATATATTAGTTTCTTCACGGGTTAATGTAATGGATACACACAATTTTCTCTATTTATCAGTGCAGTGTTTATACACTCCTAATATATCCTACAATGTTTATATAATCCTACAATGCCCTTTTTGGTAAAAATGAAAAAATCACCAATGAGTCCTCCTAGGTACTGACAAAGACAACTTATGACATTTATTATATTTGTGCTTGATCAATAGTTATGATATTATATTTAAATTGAGTAACATTTCAAAATACCTACCTGTATATACAGATCAAAGCTCTCACTTAAAATCCTAATACAATTCAATAAAAACATACTTTGTTTTTTTATATTTTATCAATCAAATATAATCATATTGTACTTTATAGACATCACTAAAATGTGAATAGATTTTCTTTCTTTTTCATTTGAAACATAATTCATTTATAGGTAGGTACAGTTTTAATCAGCATTATGTTCTCAATTACAATGATGAATGTCAAAACGATTATATAATTAGTTCAATTGGAGACAATTACATGTAACCAGAGCAATCTGCAGCGATTGGTGAATCATGAATTTCAATGTGTGCTCTCTCACATTGGCTGGCTGATAACTAACCCAGTTACTAATATCAAATACACTGTGGCATAATTTTGAATGTGTAGTTGTAAAATTTCATATTGGAAGTAACTATAATATTCATTAAACTGTCAAACACCAAGCGGTCACCGGTGACCGCGACCTATTGTTCTTTAATTGTGTCTATAAAACCGGTACTCGACGAGTTAACATTGTAAAGTTTAAAATGGTGAAATGCAAACCTCCACTAGCGTCACACACTAGTAATTGATGCGGCACTCTAAGGGTTAAGAGTAATATAGAAAAAGGTTTTATTTACTTTAAAGTCTTTGCAAGAAAATCAAGATAAAGATTTAACTTCTCTATCTCTGATTATGAAAAATCCACAATATTTGTTCATACAAAAGTATTCCCTAAACATCAGATATAAGGTCTATAGTGGAGTAAATACAGAGCTGCCATTGGTGACCGCTTGGCAGCTGGGCAAAGTATTACTGTTTTAAGTTTATGATAAATAGATAGGGATATTAAACATTAACAACATTGCTGCTTATTTTTATTTGGGAATTAGAATATAAGTTAGTTTATTGCTACTATTTCTGAAACCTGAAAGAACACTAGCCTTTTATTTTGTTATCTTTATCTATATATATAAAAATTAAACCCGTTCCCCTGTTGTCACGCCATAACTTGAGAATGGATAGACCGATTTGGCTGATTTTTTTTGTTGTGTTTGTTATTGTCAGGAAAAGGTTCTTATGATAGAAAAAAATCCTGAAAATCTTATAGGAACGGGAGAAAACGGGATTGCGCGTACGAAGTCGCGGGCAGAAACTAGTACTTGTTAATTACATACCTTACTAACACTAATCTCTGAATTTTTAATAATGCAAATTAACAACATGGTTGAAATACTAAGTTTCCTTGTTGTAAATGCCGTAAGATAACACATAACAAGGCTTCTGAATTGTACATTTAAAATTCACTTACAAAATGGTCCTCTTGTTTGTATAAAGGTCAGATAATTTGCACAAATAGCTTCACTTCTTCCTTATTGCATTGTTATTCTATTCAATTTTCCTTGTGAGCTTATGTACCTACAATATTTACTTAGTATTATTGGTGTAGAAGTTAAGCTTGCTTGTGCCTGTAATATAACACGCTGAAAGCTCAAGAAACAAAATGATTAGTTAAATTGAGTACCAAGTTTAATTAATTATATCGTTAGATAATTAGTCCAAATTAGGTACCAAAAATATAAAAGATGAAATTAGAGAATGTTTTGTCCCATTCTTAAATTAAATAAATAAGTGCAAAGTGAATTCAGTTCGTTATTAAGTTATGTGTGTTTTTTTACTATTGTGTTACAGCCAGATATTGCAATTTATTTGACTTGCTTTTACTGTGTCCTGAAGTTAAAGATCTTTTTAATTTAAACTATACATTAACATCTCTATTTAGTTATGCTTATATTTAGTGACCTATTTGATTGAAAAAATACAAATAAATATCATAATTCCAGGCATAACAATTACTTTATAAACTTTAAAAAATCCGACTCCATACTCCTATTTTTTTGAAGTCGGTTAAAAAGCTCCTCTAACAAGATGTTTTAAAAAAATAGTATTTAACTATTTTTTTATCATTTTCAACCACCATATAACTACTAGCAAACTTCAAACTTCATTGTTTCCTTCCCAACACTTTCACGAACAATTCAAGACCAAAATTAGCCAAATCGGTTCAGCCATACTTGAGTTTTAGCGAGACTAACGAACGGAAATTCATTTTTATTTATTTATGTAGAGAGATAGAAGATTTACACTTCACATTGCTGTATAAAGAAGTCAAATAGTTATAAATTGGTGTTATGCTAAATTTGTTTCTTCTGTACCAGTTCACGGCTGGGCGTCGGGATGGCGAGCATGAGCTCCACGCTCGTCGAAACCGTCTCCATCAACTACGAGGACTTTAACGAGAGCTTCCTCACGTGCGGCACCTGTTTATGTTAGTACGCAGCTCACTTTTAAACAGAGGAAGAGATATTTTAGCTTAAACTTAGGTTTCTTTATTGGTTTATGTTCAACAGCTATGATCCATGGCCTCCTGTCTATAGGGGGTTCCAATTTCCTAAAGACTATTAACAAATGTATTCATTTACATTCATTTTGTTCATTTAAAGTACTAACTACAATGCCTATTTAGTCTAGGCCAAGGTTCATGGCTATAGATGGGTATAATGAGTAAGCAATGTATGTTATTCTGGTGTATAAATACATTTCTGCAACTTATTATTTGGAAATCCTAATTTAAGATATGATATCTCTTCCGTCTTGTATATATTTTCTTGCTGAAAGAGTTTATATGTTGAGTTCCTAAGTAACTTTAAAGTTGCAAACATATCCACATAGAGAAATGCCTTATCTTATCATAGGTAACTTCTTCAATATTTCATTGAAGCACTCAACATGTAAACCTACTTATTGAATTGTACCTATTTACTATTTCTGTAGTATCTGCTAACACTTGGCATGTTTACAGTAGTAGCAGTGTGTTAAATGTTTTCATTATGAGTACCTTGTTAGTCACTGCTTTATTTCTGTTAATGACTAAATAATCTATATGGTAGTTACTAGTTATTTGTTTATACACATCACATGTGGCCATGGTTGTGCTGTTCAAACAAAACTTGACGAATTAGATTTAACAACCAACTGAGATATTTAGTCATTAGCTTGCCAAATATTACGTCATAAACCTTTATATAGTGTAATTTTTTAGACTGTCTTTGTAACGCTTTTTATGTTACTTCCAGGCACTTATGACGGAGGCGAGCACACACCGAAGCTCCTACCGTGCTCACACACAGTTTGCCTCCACTGCCTCACACGAATAGCTGCTTCACAGACCAGAGACGCAGGCAGTTTCCGATGTCCCATATGTCGAGAACTGATTACAATACCACGGGGCGGGGTGGCCGCACTCCCGCCCTCGTTCCTCGTCAACCAGCTCCTCGACTTGATGGCCCGCCAACGTCGCGAAGTAATACCGCAGTGTAGTTCGCATCCAGGCAGAGAGTTGCTTTTCTGCGAGACCTGTGATTGCGTGTTCTGTCGACACTGCGCGGACGGGCCACACAGCGACACCCCCTGCGACCATACAGTTGTGCCATTCTCCATAGCGTTGAAAAGAATGTCTGAAATACTGCTCTATAGGGCGAACGAATGTCTCAGTAAACTCGGTTCCGCCAGAGATGCAGTGGCCAGTGAACTGCGACGGCTCGAGGCGGCCGCGACTGCAGCGGACGAGGCAATAGACCGACACTTCGCAGAACTGAAGGCTGCTATCGACAAACGTCACAGTGAACTCAAATCAGCCGCCGCTGCTGCAGCGACACATAAACGAAAGTTGCTTGAAGAACAACTCAAATTAATTGATGCGGAAAAAGCTAAGGTAGGATACTCATACCAAATTAAAGTGTAAAAGATGTTGATTCAGGCCATGTTGAGTGACGCGACTCGCTAATTAACTTGTACGGAAATCCTTTTTCTAATTTCTAAAAGCTAACAAACAACAGTAGTTCATTTTCATGATCTAAAGTTCTAAACAATCGAAATGCTGCTCTCTTCTATCCTATTCCAACTTAAAGACAAAGTATTCTAAACCCTAAATTTTCGACAGGTGGAAGCAGAATGTTCAGGTCTCCAGCAGCAGGTAGAAGTGCGTGAAGTCAGCAGTCGTGCAGCGGCACTGGGAGCCAGGTTAGGAGACGCGGCGGCACTCGCAGAACCACGGGAGAATGCGTTCCTCGCCGTGGACTTCGCACACAATGACGCCCAGCAAAGATTCTCTGAAGCTCTGGCAGAATTAGGCAGGGTCCGCACCAGTACCACCTTCCCAGGACTCTGTACACTACAATTAGGTAAGTAAATAATAATAATAATAAAAAATCTTTATTTTCTCAAAAATACTCTACGGATACAAATTATATAATATGTTACAATTAAGAGACTGGTGTCTGTTAAAGGTATAACCTGTGTTACAGATCACCAGGCCAAAGTTTAATTAATATTTAAAACTAGTTGCGCCATCGACTTTCTGTGTTGATTTATCATGAGAACTATAAATGTTTCTCTGTGATAAAGACGAACATAAAAGTCAAAGGATGAAATACTCTTCCTTCAGTCGGGTAATAAACAGCGTAGATATGTGTTACTCTAGCCTATAAGAAGTTATCTATATCTGTACTTTATCAGGAACATCAAAAGGAATCAGGAATATTACTATTTCATTTTATTTTATTATCGGTCTACGTACAAATTCAGACTATAAAAATATAATCTGTCTCATTTCCAATTTTCAACCAAATTCGTTTAGCTATTTTGACATGATTGAATATAGAACATGGATGAAATGATTTGTAGAACAAAATGAACATTTCAAGTATGCGTAGTCTATGTAACAGTATGTAGCTTTTAATTGAATTAAACCGAAATATAGGTAAATGATTCGACTGTTTACGTGAGGTTTAATAAACAAAATCCATGCGTGTCGCCGTAACATTATGTCTGGACACGCGATGTATTCAGATTCGGCAAGCGAATATACATATTTATTTTATGTAGGTACGTACGTGCCTACTCCATTTTGTTAATGGGATTTTCCTTGTACGTTTATTAGTTTGTCTGGATCTTTGAGAACAGCATTATTTACATATTATACTTATAACTTAGGAGTTTGTTTGTTTGAACTACCAAATTTTAAAACCAGATGCCCAGATTTATAAAAATAATGTAGGTACATCGTGAAACCTTCCTTCCTGTCCTTCTAAGTCATTATCAGACTTTTGTAATATGCTCAGTACAAAGAACTAAAACATATGATAATTTACCTTTTTGTATCGTATGCGTTATAAAATAGATAGGTAATAACCTAATGATTTCTAAGATTCTCATCATCCCTCATTTTCTTTATCATTTAAATCTCTATAACCTCCTCAGTCGGTCATTGCTGTCCGACACGGCTTCCTATATGTTAGAAACTTCTGGATAAACAACCTCGTAGACTAATAAACTGATTAAGAGCCTATTTTTCAACCATCGTGTAATTCTTACTGACAGAATGAGCAAATAGCTTCACTTTTAATTTTATTGTTGACGTTCATAAGTGCCTTTCTGGTCTAATTAAAATAAATAATTTTGACTTTGACTTTGACTTAACTGTAAAATAAAATTGAGTTTTTACAGTTTTTAGTATGGAAGAATTAAATAGAAAGTTTTTCCTTAGTTAAAATTTACCGAGCGTTGGAAAAATCGACCCTAAAAATAATAAAACGCATTTTACTTACAGAATCAGCGTGTGTATGTGGTTTAGAGGTGGTAGTGGTACTACGTACAGTGGACTACCACGGCGAGGCGCGCTGTACCGGTGGTGACCCTGTCAGCGCCGCCGCGACCATCGACGACGCACCCCTACCTTGCACCGTCACCGATCTCGATACTGGATTGTATAGGTACGTGAAATAATAAAATATTATGTCTTTTGTCAAACAAAAGGTAGCAGGTTCGCAAGAAAGATGTGTTCCTCTTTCCTTAACTTTTTACAATAGAGGCAAGATTTTTACAATAGACTGCGCATAAACCCAGTCTTTATCTTTATCTTACTACTAGCTTCTGCCCACAACTTCGTACGCGGAATCCCGGTTTCTCCCGTCCCCGTAGGATTTTCAGGATTTTTTCAGTCTTAAGAACCTTCTCCTAATAATAACAAATACAACAAAAAAAAGAATTAGTGAAATCAGTCCAGTCATTCACGCGTGATGCCGTGACTAAGGGAAAAAGGGATTCATTTTTATATATTTTTTATTTTGTCGAGGGTTCGACGTATAAGTTTCAAAAAATATTCCTATTATCCGCCTATTATCGGCGCCTATTATCCGCGAAGCGGTAGGCAGAAGTGCACATTATGACACTTAATGCCACTGTACAATGTAACACTGTTTATGTTATGAGTCCCATGTGAGCCTATTGCCTTATACCCGGCATAATTCCAAACCTCGTGCTACATCCGAGATTTTTAATAACCCCAAATTATATATTCTGCTCTCATTTTAAAGGTAACTAAATTGCCTTTTATACGATGTAATTTACCAATTAACAAAATAATGAACAGAACATAGAAACATAGACATGAAAAAGAATAAATGTTAGGGGCTCCTTTTCTTTGCTCCGTGTAGGTATGTAGGAAGTTTGTAATACTCAAACTCTAAATAAACGATACAAGAGAATAACATGAACTACAAATTCTTATAGTACACTAACCGAACTTATTAATCAACAACGTAATAATTTTTAATCCCAAAACCTGTTCCCATATCAAACTATTCCGTAAAACCATGGATTCGTGCATAACAAATCGAGTGACCTTGGAAAAAATACTCTATACTAAAGCATTTAAAATCTTTTTTCACATGTTTATGTTCGTGAGAGATTTGTTTACGACGGGTTATCGTTTCGCTGACAGGCGAATTTCAGGTTTGCCAGTCTATTTCTGTATTCGCTCTGTTATTATTCATGTACTGAATATACTGCGAGGTCGACTCGAGACGACCTCTTTCCAGTTCTGTTATGTGAATAAAATCATGAACTATATTATTATATATTCATGAAGTCTGTTTGGAGTTTATCAATGTTTCGTTGGATGATTTTCTGACTCTTGTTTACGATGCTTTTGTTATTCTGTCTAATTCTGAGTGAATAACGATGTTTCTCTAAAAATAATAATTGTAAGTCGTAGTAAGTACATATTCTAAAAGTACACCCATATTGTTACTGATCAATCCCCAAGCGGTCACTAGTGACCGCTCTCCGCTAACTCTATTATAGACCTTATTTCCAATGTTTAGAGACTACTTTTATAAGAATAAATTTTGGGGATTTATATCAAGTGAATAAATTGGTCACATGACACCCTTTTAAATCCTTTATCGTTAAATAGGGAGTGTCCCTATTGCCATTCACTAAGCATAGTCCTAGACTACGTGCTGAAGGGCTCGCTGCCATTGCAGCGGTAAGACCCCTCTTTGAGGAGTGGCTTGAGAAACGCTACGGCGTCCTCACCTACCGCCTGACGCAGGTCCTCACCGGACATGGAAGTTTCGGGAGGTACCTGTGTCTGATGGGGCGGGAGGAAACGCCTGGGTGTTATCACTGCGAGGACCGCCCTGAGGACACGGTGGAACACACCGTAGCGGAATGCCCTGCGTGGGCTGAGCACCGCCGTGCCCTCAGGGAAGTGATTGGCGATGGCGACCTCTCGCGTCCGGGCCTAGTGCAGGCCATGATGCGGAGCGAGGGGGACTGGGATGCCGTTTCCTCCTTTTGCGAAGCAGTCATGCTAGCTAAGGAGGAGGCGGGACGCGTGAGGCAGCGAAACGCTGCCTCCTCGCAACCCAGCCATCGCGAAGGACACACCGGGCGTCGGGGATCGCGGGACGATCTCCGGCCACCGTAAACGCGGGCCTTCGGACGGCGAGCATGGGTGGCTCCCCGTCCGACCAGAAACAGACCCGAGCGTACGGCGCGTCGCGTTCCGCGCGCGCCTCAAAGAGCCATCAGACCACCACAGATGGGGCCCAATAGGGCCGATGCTGATTCGGAGTCGCGGAGAACCTAACGGGTAACCGGGGCTCCGGCTCGACGTGCAGGAGAAGGAACGGGGTGGTTTTTAGTCAGTAAGAGTCTGACACTCCCTTCCGCCTCACCCAGGCGGGAGCAGTCATTCGATGATTTTCCCCCTTAAAAAAAAAAAAAGACTACGTGCTGAAAAGGATATAAAGTTTGCTTATTTGGCTCTGAAACTACAGAACCGTTTGTAAAAATTCTTTCTCCGTTAGCAACATTGCTTTTTAACCCAATATTCCTACAGGACCAAAACGAAGAAATCAACATTACATTAACTATAATTCTCTAAATCTCCAGAATCACAATGCGTCCCTGGACGGCCGGTGCACTATGTGTACGCGTGCTAGTATTTGCGCGCGGAGTACGAGACTCCCCGCTCCGTGCACAGGTGTCCCCCACCGCGGCCCCCCTACTTGTGTGGGGGTCCAGGGGAACTGGGAAGGAACAGCTCAGCCAACCTGTCGCGTTAGCGAGGTAAGTCTAAACAATAGTACCTATGCGTATTAATTAAACGAGCACGTCAAATTAGTTAGTTATATGTACGTAGCTATGCGACGATGTTACTCGACTAGTTTCGAGCTACACCAGGGGCCAGTCAGCCTTAATCATGCTTGTAATAAATGTTGGCGATGCCAATGATATTAAAATTCCGATAGAAAATATGGGCGTCCTATACATAAGAAACGTTTGTTCATTCTCCTCGCTTGAGAAGTGAATTGGAGAACACAGATTAAAGGGTTTATTAAACAGTGCTGCGGACCGATCTCTCTCAAATGTGTAGTTCCTAGTTCCTTAATTAGCTCCAACATCCATTCAATCCCTGAATCCCCATTCTCCTACAATCTTAAAATTCTAAAAGGTCGGTAACGCACTGGTAACGCCTCTGGTGTTCCAAGAGTCCATGAGCGACGCCGATTGCTTACCATCAGGTGACCCGTACGCTCGTTTACCGGCTTATTTCCAAAAAAAAATCCATAGGCAGAGTATGGGTAGTGCTTAATGTCTCCTTTATTGATTAATCGCTGCTAATTTGACTATTGTTGCATTTGTATCGGCAGATGTCCGAAACGGCGTGAGATATACGTGCTGGACGCGGGTAACTCTAGAGTCAAGGTGCTGGACGACGAGACGTTCGCTTTCAAAACGCATATTGTTAATGAAGGTATGAATATAGAATAGAATAGAATAGAATATAACTTTATTGTACACCATTAATAATACAGTACATACAGAAAAGGAAATGACAAGTAGTAAACAGTATTTATTTATTTATTATAGATGTAGATCGAGTATAAACATCCGATGATATTGGCCATAAGTTTTACGATAAAAACTAAATAGAAAATAACTCGAGACAATTAACAATAAATTCAGTTGTCATATTATTTTTTCCTATATCATGGGTGAGGATTTATTTAACAATTCGCCGTCTTCTACCTCTTTTCAATACAATAGTTTCAATGAAATCCAATAAATGATCTGTTTATTATTTTAAAGTTAATGCAAATCCTTTTCTATATTCATTCAGTAACATAACATCAAACCTTTTATCCCCGAAGGGGTATGCAGAGGTGCACATTATGCCACTGTACAATGTAACACCCACTTTCACTATTTATGTTATGGGTCCCATGTAATAGGGGGTGACCCTATTGCCATATACCGGGCACAATTCCAGACTCACAATACTGTTTTTTTTTAAACCCCTTTATTACTTTCGAACCTTGACCGGCAGTCATTCAGTACTTCCTTTATTATTGAGAAATAAACATACAAACCCATGGCAGGTCGAAGTGAATAATAGAAATCGTGTTTTGTTCTTTAGTGTACAATTTTGAGCGCATGGTTGCTTAGTGCGTCGATGGCTAGCTTTGCAATGTATTGCGTGTACGAATCCCGCACGCCTATCAGTAGGTATGAAATTAACTTTTTTATTATATTTATAATTCCAGGGTTAGCAGGTCGGAGTTGTACAGGGATAGCGGTAACTGCTGAGGGCATAGTGGCTGTCAACTGGCGGACGCGAACTCTCACTGAGGTAACCGGTAAAAATTTTATAAGCATTATAATTTATTTGCAAAACCTTCAAACATAGTTATTAAGGCATCAAAGGTATTTTACAAGTAGTGTATCATGTATAAAACTATTGTTTCATGTGTTATCTCTCTCAAAAGTCTTACTACAAAAATATTTTTACTGAATGAGTTGCAAATAACTTTTTCCTCAATTCGAGGATTTTAGATTTTTGACATTGCTTCTGTAGCGTTTCTGTCAAAAACTGAATCTTAATTCAAAATTTCTGGATCGTTTATTATTATTATTTTACTCTGGCAGGCAGTTGAAATAACTAATATATTATTACTATTATTTCAAATTTACACTCCATAGATGGCGCTACGATCTAATAAAATCACTAGATCTACAAGAATATTACTCACATTTATTTTCAGCGTTAGAGGTATAAGTAGTGAACTGAGTAGCGAGTCTGTCTGCGGTGGCATTTCCTTCGGTAATGAGTGTATATCCCAAGTCCATCGGCGCCACTAGCGCTTTTAGTCTTGTAGGCGGTCAACATTCTTTACAAAAAAATTAGACTATAATCACTATATCTGTCACTTGCAGGTGAGTGGTGAAGGAACGACGATCCGTACGATCAGGTCGGACAGACTGCAGGAGCCGGTGTGTGTGGCCGCGGACCTGGCGTCACGCCGCCTCGCCGTCGCGGACAACGGGGCGCGCGCCGTCTTCCTCTTTGATAGCCATGGAAATATTGAGAGAGAGGTACTTATGTTTTGTGTTTATTTGTCTTGTTTAATGTTGCATTGGACTGTATTTATATCCTAAATCTTTATATATATAATTCTTCTGTGAGTGTGTATGTCACTGAACTTCTCTCAAACGACTGGACCGATTTTGATGAAATTTTTTGCGTGTGTTCAAGGGGATCTGGGAATGGTTTAGATTCACAAATCAGCCCGGCAGATGGCGCTGCAGTCGATGTTCAGGTTATTTATCCTAAACAGCTGAACTAATTTGAATAAATTTTTGTTTATACATTCAAGTGGATATGCAGGACAACGTCTGTTGGGTCCGCTAGTACACTTATAAGACGTAGACAGTTGTCAATTTTGTTTTTGTTGTTGACAATACGGTAGTGACAGTGTATGAAAATTAAAAATATAATTAGTCCGTCAATTACATAATGAAAAATATTAGACATGTTTTTTTATATTATCGTATAAGAAAACAATACTTGATAAAACGGAGTTAAGTTAAGCAGAGGTCGTTACGTCACGCTACCGTATAAAATGTAGTAAATCGTGACGACAAATCAATGTATGGTCGAAAGTATTTAGTTTTGTAAGAAAAGGAAATATACGTGTCTTATGTTTTAAAATAATCTACCGGACGGACATTAAAATAAAATTTAGGATACAACCCTATTAAGTTAATCGAATTAAAGATCTAACCTAACACTAAGCACTGTAAAAATAAAATGAAATGGAACAATATTTATACTGTAATTAACTACTATTAATTAATTACTATTATTAATTACTATTTGACAACCCTAAAAAGACCTCAGAAACAACCACTCAAACCTCTAAATGCATCAAAAACTAATACAAAACCTTCTATAATTGATATTCGTCGCATTATTATTGTAACAGAAGAGTCAATCCTCTTCGTTTACTATTGGTTTTTTGTTTGTATGCCTCCCTATCCTATAAAACATCTTGTTTTGAAATAATATGTGTCTATGTTCCAGGTAGGCAATGGAGAGTTGGGTCTAGTCGGCGGGCTCGCGTTGTCTGAAGACTTGCTGATTATAGCGGATGTCGCCATCAGGGTCTACGATATTGAAGGGAATCTCAAGAATGTGTTCGCACCGGTGCCAAAAGGTATGATCTTGTTTCCTTCGCACTTACTTCTTACACATATGAAACTCAAATTTTAGCTTTTCTCATGCCCTTTTTAATTGATTAGCGTCACATATCTTTCACATATTACGATACGCGCTGCGTACGTTAATATTTTATTTATGAGACTGCCTCGTTGGCCGTCGCCTACGAGGCAGCCGGACAAGAGGTCTCGGGCTCGATTCCGAGGCAAAGTATTACTGGGTTTTTATAAAAAATTATCAGTAATAGCACGGAGTCTAGAATAAAATTGGGCTAAGTATGTGGTAATAGGCTCACCCTTAATACATGGGACACATAACATAGGTAATATAAATAATGAAAAGTAGGTGTAACATTGTACAGCGGCATTAAGTACCGTAATGTGCACTTCTGCCTTCTACTAGATAAAAGGCGTGATGTTATGTTATTTTCTATTGCTGACATGCTGTATAATGACTTCAACATTAACTTCACCTTAATATCGTCCCCAGGTCGTGGTGGATACGGTGGTATAGCACTAGCGCCACCTAGTGAGGGAGGGACGCGACACGTTGTATGCGCGCGCGCAGTGCGGGGCCGGCCTGCATTATTAGTACTGGAACCAGGCGCTGGGAAGGTGCTGGCTCTGTCAGAGTTGGCCGATAAAAAGCCCCGTCGCGTGGCCGGACTTACGTTGTTGCCTAATCGACGGGTGCTACTCGCCGACCTAGCTGCCGACTGCTTGAGGTTGCATACTTACTGGTGAAACCTAGGCGAAGCTTTGTGGGTAAGTACTTCAATGATATAAATTATAGAATAGTCGCTATAGTCTTCATTCTTGTGAAACAATTAGAGATGTGTAGTTATGCATGTATAACATGTATGTCGACCTTATCGTTCGCTTGATAAAATTGACGTGTAAAAGTGCTGCCTTGTAGCCTATTTGCACAAATAAATTCACTTGTTTCACTATGCAGATATGTATTGATTTATTGTTTTTAATAACGTTTTACTGAAGACTTGTGTGGCTCGATTAGAAAAAATTTAAAGAAAAACCCAACTTTTAGAGACCCTGTCTCCAGAGATCAGCAGATCAAGATCAATAAAAACTTCAATTCAAAATGTAATCTATAACATGAAGTCTCACTTCCAGGTGACGCGTATAGAGACGGGAGCGGAGCGGGCGCAGGAGCGCGACGTAATCGAATTTCATGCTAGTCCAATATTATAACGGAGAATCGAACTGACGGCCATACACACGGACTGCGAGGGGAGATACTTGCACCAAAGTCTTTAGTCGGCCCGCGACGGCCACTGCGTTATCAATAACTATATTTTAGTACTTACAGTATTTATTTCGTATTAAGTTAATTATTTTCTAAAAACGTTTACTTTGTCGATTCTAGTTCGACGCTTATACGGAATTTGACAATATTATGACTGATTTTGATTTTTATGTGTAATATTTTCTCGTTTTACTTACTTTTCGCTGGACTGCGAACGTCAAATCGTGACTTTTTTATGATAATTATATTATTATTATTGATTAATAATATTTTTGCATTATGCGCTGTAAGTGTAACTTGGTTGATCCACCGTGCAATCGGCGATGTTTTTGAATTAGTCTTTAAATTCTTGTCAGTGAATTAATCACTTTATTTATTTGTATGCATCAAACTTGTTGGCGATTCTAAACTTCGCTTTAACTAGTCGTAAGACGAACGCATTTATTTTTAACTAACATTAGTTCGTGTTCTGTCTCTTGAGAAAAAGGAAAGATCTTTACGATCACATAATAAATGAATACAGACAATATTTATGATAAAATAATAATAATATCTATTTAGGGGTATACCTGCCTATTCTAATTGTACGAAATAGTGAAAAAAAAATCCAAAATTGATCAGTTTTCGCGGTACATATCCAGTAGCCTTGTTTGGTATGCTTAGTGATAGTGCGTTGTTATTAGTTGGACAATGTCGGTTTGTTTGTTTGTCCAAACAATATCGACTGTCCTTTAGCCTACACTATAAGTCTGCGACCAGATATTTACTAAACGATTGAATGTTTAACAATTTACTTATATGCAAAAAGTGTATGTTGACTGCACACATCTGAAGCCTTAGTAAGGTTTGTTTTACGTTTAAAGTATTCGAAACGAGTACGCGTTCGGCACTCTGATTGGCCGGCACCAATGAACATAGCTGGGCACCGTTAATCAAATAGTTAAGTTCTTTAATCGTAAATCAGCTACAAAAAAAGTTAGCTTCGTTAAAGCGTTACATTTCGGAAGAATTAACGCAAGTTAACGTTAATGTTTAATCCGTTAATATGTGTTAAATTACATTTTTATTTCGTTGCGTTAGTGAACTTAGGAGACTAAAAAAATTCTTCGCAGTTTACTCACTCGCACGCGCCGGCCAGATATATCTAGTTTTGTTAATGTTTCAAGCGTTGCCAGGCGCCGCCCGGCACTTGTCTTTACCTGTTTTTTCGCGCCGCGCCGTGATGCCGTGCGGTAAATAGTAAGCATTGGATTAACGATTAACGGATTTCTGCATTTTAACGGAATTTAACGTGTTCGTTTACATTTTAAAAGTTAACTTAAAAGTTAATCCGTTAATCAAAATGTTAACTACGTTAATTAACGATTAACGGATTAACGAGTTAATGCCCAGCTATGCCAATGAAGCACCCAATCAGAGCTCCGAATGCGTACTCGTTACGATTACTTTAAATGTAAAACAAACTCATAGTAAGACCTCTGTCAACCTAAACGTCGACGATATCTGGCCGCGTCACCCAGTTAAATACCATAGTATGCGCTATATATAAAGTTAATATGAAATAGCTACATATGTGATCATTTACAAATAAGAATCTTATTGTTAAAAACTTCGCATTAATATAATAGTATATACTGTTTTACTATAAAAATAATTAAAAATGTCACACATGCCCAATGGTACTTAGCAGTAGTAAAAATAACGATATTTTAATTAATTATTTTTCTAGTAAAACGGCTCAGTTTAAATTACAAATCATATCTGCCTATTAAAAATAAGTTAGTTGTTTTCTTTTCTAAATTCTTGAGGTGTCGATGCCATATTTTGATTATTAATTAATATACTTGCACTACTTAAAAGTTAACGTGTGCTATTTACAAAATTATTTGCGAACAAAATAAATAGCATTGGTCCTTATATCCTTAAACGTTGCGGTTTTATTGTGGAAGTTTCATAATTATTGATTGCTCAATCAAATATGAATGTATGAGTAATAACATCATATCATGCGATCAAAGAAAATTATCTCATAAAACTACAAATCATTCAGTAAGGGAGACCGGGTTGGCTGTTTCACGAGTCGGTTGTTATAGAGGTCATAATAGACAAATTATAGAACGAAATATGAACATTAATCGATGTATAAAAACAATTATCCCAAGATAGTACGTTCTCCTTTTTTTTAAGTCGGTAAAAATAATCACCGTCAGGAGAGCAGTGATTACAAAAATATCAGTTACTTACGTTAACTGAGACAAGCTCTACCAGTTTCGCGTATCAACGGGACTCTAATTCGTGAGGTTCGGAATGTTTCGACAATTTAACCGATTGATACAAATTATTGACCTCTAACTACAGATATTTAATGATTAGGTGTATGTACCTAAACTGTTCCTAATTGACAATTTTTTTCCGAAATAATTTCCAAGTACTGGGTTAAATGAGTGATCACGGCGGTAAAATAACCAACCTCGGTCTCCTCTACTACAAAATTCAATATATCCAGATTAAACTAGTTTTAAGTAAAACTCTCTTTGCTATAGTTTAGTAACGTTGACTGTTTATTATTGAAGCTATCGTTATTTCCTAACAAATAATTAAAATCTAAAAATGTATCTCATTTAGTTGGTCTATATGTACAGTATATATAGCTTACGATATTCAGAGTTTAAATGAGTGAACATAAACTTAATCAGAATGAATGGAAAATGTTGATTTCAAATTAAAATTTCCCAATAGGGAATATGTACGTGTTTTAAATTCTTTAAGTATTACTATTGGGTGATACTCGGTTAATATATTTATTGTAATAAAACCTTCATTTCGCACCAAGGTTCCTAATGGTACACACGGCTACACATCGAGCTTTACATAACCAGTATAAACAGAACGTTAAATTTGCGGAAAGATGATGCGACGCGGCACCAGGATAAACTGGTTTTGTATAGATCGATGTGTGGCTGTAAGTACCTGAATGATCTCGTCATCATAAATAAAAATGTCTATTTAAAATGGTTATTACGAAACTTGTCCCATACGACTAGCAATTATGTTATAACACAATAAATACATATAACAAATCGCTATATAAAGGCATTATCATGACAAACAAATTACTATGTACTACTAAAGCTTGTTATGTATTTCAACTTTCACAATACATACATATTCTCTATTGTTTTAACATGGCTGCGACGTCAACGCGATTTCAACAACGGAATCTCATTAATGTATTTTTTTTTATGTGAAATGTAATCAAGGCCTCAAATAATATATTAACATAACAATAAGTATAAAAATAATATAATTTATTATTTGAACTGCTTTATTGTTAATACAAAATGATGTAACTCGCAAATAAATTCGAAATTATTCTTTATTTATTTAACAATATATCGAAATTTCTGGTTATTTTTTTAATGAGAGGTTTTCGGTTATTGACTTAATGTGTAGTTTAAGTTACTGTAAAGTGATGGGTTTACCGTTAACGGTATTGTGGGTTTAGATCTAGTCTGATGTCTACTTACAAAGGTTTTTGTAAATTATACAATGCTAGTTACACATATGTCCATACCAGTGATTGTAAAAGTTTGTATGTAACCGAAGGGTTTCGAAAAACGTTAATGCAATGAACTCTAACAGCCGTATCGATGCCATTTTCCGACGTGTTATTGCTAAACACACCATAGTTAAGAAAATTAGCATAGTGCGTGAAGCAAACGTGATTGGCATGTATAATTTAGAAATGTGCGTAACTCTTCAGATGGACTGACATGCCGTTACAAGTATACTTTGCAAATGTATTATTTACATAATAATTTGGGTGGATTTCAATAGTCTGACTATAAAAATCTCGCGTTGAATCTGTATTGTTGACAAATTGAGTATTAATATTTCGTTTAGTGTCATTTTGTCTAGACGTTTGGCTATAATCGAAATGGGCCAATATAATTCAGTACAATATTCAAGAACAAGAGTTGTGTTTGATACAACTCGTTTTAATGACTTCTAGTTCGTTTAAATAGCCGTAATTAAAAGGAAGTGCACCCAGGTTATTGTTGTCAATCATATAAAGTTACTGAGCTGAGCTAGTGAGCTCTATTTAAACATGTCATGTTCTCATTAAGAACTCGAATATCATGTCTTACATCGCTCATTTCTAACGCATCTTCATACATAATATTATATTCAGTTATTCGTCTCTACTTGAATAACTTAGGTATTAATAAAGTTCCTTTAAGATCCTTTAGTTGCATAACATTAATGACTTTTGATTGTATTCAGTGTTAGTCTTTACATAATCGTTGTTTACTTTCAGGCACCATATTATAGCGTCTATTATTCAACCCTGTTTGTTCCCTTACCAGCTGTTTACACATGTACTGTTATTGCGGTTACCAGACTAATACAGGGTGTTAACGAAACGCTTCCAAAGACTCAGATATTTTTTTTTGTTTTTACAATTAGATAGTTTTTGCTTTCTTGTTGTTTATGCAATATCAGCCTTGAGCAGTTGATTACAAGTATTATGACATAAAAGAAACCTTTAATTCCTTACTATTTTGAAAATAAATATAGTGTTTCGCCATCTGACTTCGTTTTTTGGAAGCGTTCTGCTGACATCCGTATAAGATATATCTCATTGAATAGTTAAAGATTCTAAACTTAGATATATGTATTTGTTTGTATGTTGTATTACGTTGTGTGCTTGTGTTGTCGTGAACAATTTCAGCTTTAAAACATTATAAACCGAATTACGTTTAGTGTTGTCTTATGTACTGTTACATACATTCAAACATTCTGTCGTCACAACTCGCTTACACTGCCTTTATTTCGTTAAAGCATTTAAAATAAGATTACGCCTATAAATCTCTATCTGCTTCCCCTCCCTGTAGATATTCACAAACAGTACACTATATTATAAAATAGTTATTTGAATAAACAGTTCAACAGCAGATTGGTACAAAATAATAATAATAGGTACGATATATAATTTATTCTTTGCATTAGATGTAAACTGTTCAAAGTGAATCATAGTGAAAGTGTTCTATTATTTTAAAAGATGAATAAATAAATCTATTTTGGCACCAGATTGACTATTTTCAGACAAAATTGATGGAATTGATAGAGAACTCATTTATTGATTGTATGTACGCCTAAAAGCTAAAGTGTATTTATTTATCAGAAGCTGTGAATCTGTACTTAAATTATATAATCACAGAGTATCTCAGTGTCATGTCGATAACGTCACTTTTGTGCAAAACACAATAAAGTTAAATTAAAAATAATACCTTGTTTATTTTATTTATGAACCCTAATAGGTTTTTACCTTATTATTATTATTAATTTCCAGCCATGATCGTCCCTCTGTAGGGCAACGGCCTGGATATCTATGACAGGAGATTGGCCGCTAAAAGCTTTACATAGAGGGCTGTGGAAGGAGGGTAGATGCCTTTACCCTGCAGGTTTTTGCCTTATCTGGTCAAAAATACTTACAATAAATAAATATCGAAATGGCTAGTAGGTATAAGTATTTTTCAATACTTTTCCACTAATCAATTTTCCTACAAAAATACGTGATATTTGTTTTTGTGTTGGAGTTCATAACATAGTAAGAACTAAGTAGGACATATTATTCTTTGATGGTGATCGAGTTCCAATGCATAAAAAATCCACCAGCACCAGAGATTCAAAGCCAAGGGTCTCGTGTTCTTAATCTACAAGCATCAAAATGTTTGATACCTACATAATTATTTCCTCATTATGATTTATCATCATTTTATCTGTACCTAAAATCTATCACAGATAAAAACGAACCTTCGGTTTATAGTAATTAAAGAGGAATTAAATTCAAATTAATTACAATATAACAATAATGGGCCATTTAATCAATAATTTAATAACGCATTTTGATGCTTGATATAACTTATTAAAGACATCTGAAAGGAAATAAAACCATAAATTAAAAACATATAATTTTATTGAAAAATAAATCAGTTATAACTAAATACAGAGAGATTATCACTGAGAGAAAACACCGAACGTTGCACGTAAACGTGTGCATGAAATATTTTATAAAAAAATAACCTTACTCAGTTCCTTGACTTAATTGTAATATACGATCACGCAGGGCCACGTCACACAGCGTCCGCCATCAATAACAATACAAATTGTACTTATTTGCGTTAAGACACTTGAACTATGATGCGGCCATTATGAAACCTGACCCCGGTTCTAGGTGAAATTGTTAACACTTCAGGAATTTCGACATTTCCAGGCATCGCAATGTCACTCTGTTGTCAATATTATACCTACTGTACTCTGTCCTCAGAATGTATGTAAATGTTACATTGCCAGTACAAAAAGATGTAGATAGGATTACACATAAAGTTAATGATTACACTATTACATTTTACAGTTATTACTTTATTTACTGTTTTATACATGGGCGCCGCCAGGATTAAGTATTTAAAAGCAAATTTATTAAAGTCCTTTCCAAAACTTATATTATTATACTATTTAGACCTCCAGCCTAGCCCAGTAATGTCTTTTCTGTGAGGTGTGACATAATGAAGGTTAAGGAATGTATTTTTTTTTTCTATTACGTCTATGTTTTGAGATTTTTCAAACAGTCTTAGACAAGACCTGTCCTAAACTATCCCTATACTCGAAAAAGAGTAATTTTTGTTGCTGCCAGAGACGCCCATGTTAAAACACTATTTATTTAAGAATTGAGCATTGGTTTATAATAGGCGGTTTGTCATTTGAACTTTATTTGGTACAACGACACAACGGTCACGTTGAATAAAAAATGGGTCCTGAAGTGAACAACTTTTTGATTGTTTTTTTTTTCATATAAAGGCGATATTATACCTGTATAAGGAACCATGTAAGGACGTGTAGATCTTAAGATTAGGAACCATAATATATAGGAGTGTAATACATAAACATAAAATTAAAATTACTGTCTGTTACGTTATTATATAATGTTTATCACATTATGTAGTGGTCTTACAATAGCAGTAATAATTATAATTGACATGCAAATTACCACTGCTGTTACCCAAATACACGTAACATATTGGTTCAGTCATGCAATACGAAGTTTTACAAAATTCGCATGTATAAATGCAATTCTTACGTTTACTCTAAAGGTAAATTTTGACAATACTCCCGGGCCGAGATCAACACGTAAAAATGTCAATTGCTTCAAAATATAAACTAATCATTTCATTCATTATTTTAATCATATTATTATGTAAACATAATTCGTTATCGTCAATGTTGCCAATGTCCGAGGAAAATAAAACTAGCTAAAATATTGAGCAAAATCATATCGTTTTTTTTAATTCCGGTCATTCATAATTTATCCTAATTCTTAACATCATCTTCAATTTCATTGAAATATCCACATGTTGGCAACAAGGACAATGAATTAGAAATTGCACAAACCAGAAGGATACGTAAATTATACAAATATATTAATAGTATTACGAACAAATAATAAATGCATTTCTGACGAGATAGTTTGTCGTGTAAATCATAGATGGCGTTACTTTCCGAATTGTGCGAGGGCCTGTTTGCATTCCTCGATTGTCTTTTTCTGTCTCTCTATAGTAGCTGAAGTTTGTTTGGTTCCCTGGAGTCTGATGCAGCTCGCTATCGTAGTATGGTACCCGCATACATTATGGAGTATACGGACAGCGCGATCACCGCAAACAAACAGATACTTTCCGCTTGCATCAAATTTCATGTAGTTGATTAATCCTGTCAACAAAAATTGAGTAATTATGCAATGATTTTGATAAATAGCCGTCGTTGTTATCACAAGTCTTGCATTTATAGGCGCTATATAAGTGCAAGTGATCGATAACGATACCTTGAATCGCCTATTCAATAATTCACGGCCTCCTGTAACCTCGCCACCGAGTTAAAAATACAGTTACACGTCCATTAGAGCCATGTAGTGGAGGGCTACCTATGTTCACTGTTTTCATAGTTATTTCTAAGAGTTCTATAACTGAAAGTATTAGTAACAAATCAATAGAGTCTACTGACGCTTTCCCCGACTACAATTGCGTGGGTGTCAATTCTATTTAGTTAGAACGTAGGTTGTTAAGAGTTAGTGGTAGATATTGTAGTTTCTTACAGACAATTTTTCTTAAGATATATTTCCAATTATAGTAGTTTGAAATATCTGGCAAGAATTATTTTTTTATAGGTACCGAAACCGCAGAATATTTGCCATCGACACCTATGCCTTATCCCATTGAAATATAATTAAATACACATTATGTTAATAAAATCCCCAGTACACTAGTACTTATTTAAGGAAAAAAAATCTACAAGAACAATATTTGCGATTCCCATAAAATGAAAACATTGAGGTAAACCAACAAGAGCTTGTTTAGCAAGAATTTTATTATTTAGGTATATTTTTTTTCTTGCCGACCCACCTTATCCAAGGTCTCGGTGTTATTCAAATGACATAAGAACAACATAATCGAAGCATTTTATAGTCTATTTAAAAAAAATGTGACGTTCTATGTAAACAGAACGTACCTATGTACGCCTTTAATAAATTGCATACTTCTTTAAACTCGTCGAGTACCGGTTTTATAGACACAATTAAAGAACAATAGGTCGGGGTCACCGGTGACCGCTTGGTGTTTGACAGTTTAAATAAGGAACACCAACACTACCGAGCAAGGAGTCTCTGCTGGATCTTGATTCGGGCAAAAGTATTGTTTGGGTTTTTTTAGATTTTTTTGCATTTACGCACGGAGGTTTAAAATGTGCCTGGAGTATGTCAATATGTTCACTCCCTATTACATGGGACTTAAACATAATTGGTTTAAGTGGCTGACACATTTAAGTGTACCTCTGCGTATGTTTTGGGATATTATATTTTTTACGTTGCTCCACACTGGGATTTTCTTCTATGTCGTGGGTACGTATTACGTTACAAATATGCAATTTCACAAACGCAGTCTTATGTATGGTAAAATGAGGTGAAAGAGACAGGGAAGAAAGAAAGATGGTCCCTATTCACCTCGCGATCCCTATTCACACCATTTTACCGTATGTAATGTTTCCTTTAAGCTTTTTTAATTCTTAACTATACCGTTTTTTCCTCGTATTTCCTTATAAGAATTAGTATCTGAACAATCGATATTTATCCTTGTTTAATATACTGATTATTTGTGTATTTGGAATCTCTCTTTAAAAACGGTAAATACGAGGGAAATAAAAGCGGGACACTGTTTTTCATTCCATCACAGCAAAAGTTTATCATTAATCTCTACCATAGAGGATTTGCCATAATTGACCTGCTTGGCAGAACGGTTGTAGATTGTTAGATATATTGATTGTTGAATATTTTGGGACCAATGTTGATGTATGGTAGTAAAGCATTGGTAGGTAACCAAGTAAAATCAATGCAGTGAAGATGATAGCTTTGAATGAGATTGATAGATTGAGTGCAAAGAAAATAAGTGTGAATTGAAAGAAAATGTAATGATAACGATTGAAATAGACGCTGATGATTAGGTCATATGAAAAGAATGTAGACATGCTAGAATCTAGATGATCAAATATACAGAGGGCTCAGTACAAGTTTTGTTTTACGTTTAACGAGATCGAATCGAGACTGCGTCCGGTGCTCTGATTGGCCGGCTACAATTAACAAAAAAATCAGAGTACCAAACACGGTCTCGTCGGTCTCAAAGGTACTGAAAAAGGGCCAATTCGAACCCACCTTAATTGACACCAATGCCGAATTTAGATGCAGTAAACCGTAAAGAAAGATATGTCAGAATCGTGAAATTAAAAAAAAACTGTTGCGGGCATGTAACCGTCTTTTCGGAGTATTAACAAAGTACGACTCGATATTCTGAACTAGTAATACGAAATATCAAAGCTGATAATTTTTTGCTCGACCTGAGACCGAACCCGTGACCTCGATCTCGTCAAATATTCAAGTAGGCGTAAGTTACTTTTTGTGATAATTCTATAATCTCCATTTATCTATACACTTTATAATATAGTAATTGACATTGGGGGACATCCCAAATTCGATTATGATTCAACAAAGTTTGGCTACGTTTGGGAAATTCCAGATAATTTTCCGCCATATTTATTTTGATAAGCGCAAGTTTTTATTAGACAGAGGATCTTACAATGGAAGTTTCTTAAAATCATCGATGGCTAGATGTTTTTACCTGTAAATATTTTTGTACATACGTCATAAATTCCTCGGAAAAAGCTTCTTCTGTTGGTATTTCCTTATAGTTTTTGTTCTCCGGGAAAATATTTTAAAGAAAGTGATTACGTCATCATCACACCACCATGGCTTTATTCCTTGAGGACCTTTAGCAAAGGTGTAGGTACATACGTCATACATATTACATACATATTCAATGTTAACATCCATATTTCGACAGTTACATTCCGAGTCCCATAAAGTCATGTAGAATCTACTGCCTACTACTATTACTGAGAATATTGAAAGCTCAATAATACTTTGGCCAAATCGAGAAACGAACACTAGCGCTAGTTTAAATGCATTGCTATTTCAAAGTCAAAATCATTTACTTCAATTAGACCAGGAAAACGCTTTTGAACGTCAACAAAAAAAAAATTTAGTTTATCGGTCAGTCCTCTAGTGAAGTTATTTTATCAACTTATTAATATCTTGGTATACAATGCACACAAGTCAATCATCATCAAAGTCAAAGACGAGACGAGACTTCCGAGTCCTGCATTAAAATACCACGATGAAAGAAATATAACATTTTACTACCAAAAAGCTCAATACCATGGCGTTTCCCAAACAATACTCACCTTTATCTTTTCTTAAAATAAAAGATGGCCAATAACTTTAAATTCTTCTTAGTAACATTCTATTCTTTTCTAACACATTTCTTGCTAAGAAATAAGAAACCTTTGTATTTTCACCCATAAGTAAAAAAGACCATGAGATTTAGCACGGCATGTTATTATTTATCTTTAGTGGTGCTAAGTTAGAGCTGAAGACCTAATTCAGTAAATCGAAACGGGTCGATAAAGACCTATTCCGCTTCTATACTGATAAAGTGCACATATGTAAAGATGAGAGTTGTAAAGCCGGTAGGGGCCGCCCTAGGGGAACGTAAACATAGCTGACCTCATTAGAAACATTGTGGAAAAGGCCAGGTGCAGAAGTACTCTTTGTATATAACCGCTATGGCTAGAAGCAAAAACGCGATTGATATACTTTTTTATATGATTTTTTTTTTGAGTAGGTAAATCATCCAACGACTTCTCCCGCCCGGGTCGGGCGGAAGGGAGTATCAGACTAATTACCACCCCGTTCCTACTCCTGCACTTCGAGCCAGAGCCCCGGCAATCCGTTAAGTCCCTTATATACCTTTTAATAACTACTGATAGGTAAGAAAGCTTCAGGCCGTCTACTGGTAAACGGGCATCGTAACATGTAACTTAAAAGTATTCGTAGATCTATGAAGTATAGAAGTGGTGGGTGGTGCTTTCTAGCTTTGACAAAACTGTGAGCATATGAGTATATGTTAAACATAACTTACCAGAATAAACATTCTCGACGGTATCGTAAAGTTTCCCCGTGTAGGTGTCGTAGAATTCGACGCTGGAGTCTACGGAGACGGCCAATACTTCGGCGTTTGGTGAGAGTGCTATGTGCGGCGGGTTCGCCGTCTGACGGTATGTGCCCGTCTCCAACACGTGTGGGGACTCTCCACGAGTGTATTCGACTGGAATAAAATAATTATAAGGTTAAATTCTGTTGTTTATTGAAGGTTTACGATTTAAGTAACAGTAAATAACTATAGTGCTTCCAACATTTGAAATTGTCTGTAGGTATAATTAAGTATGGCGTCTATTACATAGCTTCAGCTATTGGTTGGTTTATCCCAAGTTGCATGATCATCATAATAACGAGCGAAGCGATGATACATAATTATGTTACACATAACACTTTTAAAATAAGTTTAAAAAAACCACAGAAACTCTCTTTGTAAAAAGGATATAAATCAGTATAAATCATGTGGTTTTTATTTTATTTTATCACACTATTTTGTAGGACATAAAGGCTCTCTAAGGACTCATAAAGTACACAACCATGTTGATTGGAAAAATCGCAACTGCGTAGTAAACACTACGATATAGAAGTAGCTGTGAAAAATTAAAACAACAATTTTATTGATCTGACGAAGACTATAATATAAGTAACTAACCGAGGACTTCCAAGCGAGGTTAAAGAAAATAAACTTTAGAACGAAGCATTGAAGGAACAAGGTTGACCTTATTCTGAGTCTAGCCTTGGAATCTTACTCACAACATAATAATATTACCTACGCCATATTCCCTGAACGAGTGCGCAGTAATATATAACTGTATATCGTGAAGTTTTAACAACAATAAACTGGACATACCTAAAGCTAAACTACGTGCGACTTTAAATGTCTCCAAGATCAAATCCGGTCACCACAAACTAATAAAGCGAATTCTCTCGAAACAAAATGAACTCTTAATTAACGTATTCAATAAATCGACTAACATTTTATAAATAAACAAGCTATCAGAGAACTGATTTAAAAATTCTTTAAGACGATGTTATTGCAAATATTTTGTGTCAAAACACTTAATGGCTAGTATAACCTATATGAAATCCTAATACCGTTAATTTCTCACGTTTCAAACTTGGAACATTGATGCGACGCACAGATAAAACAAATCAGCATTAAAGTCACCAGCCTGCTTGACCAGTTACTAGAAATGGTTTTGCCGTAACAAGTTTATCTATAAAAGCATTATAAAGTCGTAATAAAATTTGAATAATGCCATATGAAACATCTGCGTGGTATTGAAAATGAAACGCGATCTGGTACTGAGGGATTGACCCATATGACGTGTCCGTACGCCATAGGTAATTTCCAGACATCGCGTAGTAAACAAATAACCAGAGCCCTGTTTTCCTTAAAATCCCATTAGCGTCAGTGATTTGTTTTCTGTATTTGTGCAGTTTATCATTTATAAATGGTTCTCGTTAGTAATTTTACAGAGAATTAAGTATGTAAATTAATATATTAGTATGTACGAGGTCGTGATTCATAGTTCTTCCCTTTTATCCTGGACCTTTTCTCAACTAGGGACATTTGCGATTGGTAAATTCAAAGTATCAATTTATTTATTTATCACTAGCTTCTGCCCGCGACTTCGTACGCGCAATCCCGTTTCCTACCGTTCCCGTAGGATTATTTTCTATCATAAGAACCTTCTCATAACAATAACAAACACAACAAACAAAAAATCTGCCGAATTGGTCTAGCCGTTCTCAAGTTATGACGTGACAACGGGAGACGGGTTTCATTTTTATATATATAGAAGATAGAAGATGTAAGTTTATAACTTTCAACTCTGCCTGCTTCTGTCTGGTTTGATTTGCGAGCCGACCAAAGCGGCAAATGAGTGGTATGTTTACAAAGTTTTAAACATATTCTATTAAATGTCAATGCTCTCCTACTGTAGCGCCTGGCATCTGTTCACCACGGGGGGCCAATTTCACTGTCTGTTTTAGATACATTCAAACGGCTAGTCTTAATAACATAGACGTCAGTAGATCTGCTTACTAAATACAAATGATTATGGCGTACGACGACCAAGACAGGGAAGCAGACGGATTCACAAGCAATCGGTATTGTCCATGGACACCAACACCAGATAAGTTACAAGTGCGTTGCCGACCAATTGAGGACGGGGGATGGATGATTGGGTCTCCGGTAATCTCACTCACACAGCAAACAACATAAGCGTTGTTTTACACCAGTTTTCTGTGAGGCCATGAATACTTTTTGTACGGACTTAAAGTCAAAATTATATCTGTAGCTAAATCTAGGTAAAACGATCCGAGCTTTTAGTGACGTCATGTCACCTAGTCTTGGCTATACTTTTATACAATAATACATACTTATGGATGTCTTTACACCTGTCTCCTATAGGGGGAAGCAGATACAGAACGTCAATTGCTACGATTCTTATCTCTATCGCTTCCTCAACAGTCAAATATAATTTTATACAACAGTGTGTAAATCCTCACAATTTACCCAGTAATACTTTTTCCAAGTACCTATTTAAGAACGGACATATTGTATGATTCGTAAGGAAATAAGGAAGCGAAAAGGTTCAATGTCGAGTGCGTACCGTGACCTATGTCAAGATATTGTGCGTCTGAAAATATTACTTATGGAAAAAGAAATTAAGGTAGGTTGTGATAAAGCGAGTGTTGAATAAAATGTGGATGAATGAAAAGGTAGCGAGGATAAGAAAAGGATAGATTGTGTGAAGAATGGTATGAAAGAGCAAGGAGTTTGTAATAGGATGATGTCTAATAGAGGAAAGTAAAAAATAGGTCATTCAAGAGGTAAGGCTCTAAACAGACGAACCGTATTTCAAAATCAAACAATCATGATGTTTCTTCTGCTTCTTAAAGATCCTTAATTTCTTCTTTCTTTCTTCATCTCAAGCATTAAGGCTCTAGACAGACGGACCGCATTTCAACTGAAATCCAACCGCAAATTGCAGTTCGGATGCAGTTTGAATGCAGTCGTGACACGATTGCCATTGAAATGCAGACCAAATATGGAGTCCGATTGTAGTTCTATAATTGTAGTCATGACCAAACGGTTGCAAATCAAACAAGCTGGCCGATTGCAGTTCCATTGCAGTTGTGTCAACTGCGTTCAAACTGCATCCGAACCGATGCAGTTGGATTGATTTGAAATGCGGTCCGTCCATCTAGAGCCTTAAAGCTTGAGATAAAGGCCGAAAGAAGAAATCTATATATTCTTTTATATATTCTATATATTCTTTTATGTATATATATAAAAGAAAGTCGTGTTAGTTACACCACTTATAACTCATGAATGGCAGAATAGATTTGGCTGAAAATTGGTAGGGAGGTAGCTTAGAGCCAGGAGACCGACATAGGATACTTTTTAAGAATTTTTTTTTTTACTTTTTACCGAAAATCACGAACGGGGACAGTAAAAAATGGGATTACGCGTACGAAGTCGCGGGCAGAAGCTAGTGTAGGATATTTAAAAGACAGAAGAACCATCATGATTGTTTTCCTTCAGAAGTATACGTTGACGACTTCAGTTAAAACTTTTGAAAACTTCAGTGAAATTAATTTTATTAATGATATCATTTTCGTAATATGCAAAATAAATAGGTAATTACCTTATGCTTAGTAATCGAAAGCTATGTGATGTCATATTTAAAATAGTGCATTGGTCTGTTACATAATTATGTATTAAATTTTCCTTTAAATTTTACCTTCCTTTTGTGTAGTTAGATTTTATTGAGGCACCTAGACACATCAGCCTAACTGTAAGTGTGGGAGAGCCATGCTTCGATCGGCACGAATTGGCCGGCTCGACCGGAGTGATACCACAGCTTCACAGAAGACCGATGTGAAACATCGCATGCGTTGTGTTTCGTCGTGTGAGTGAGGTTACCGGAGCCCCCCCCCCCCTCCCCAATCTCCCCAATCCCCAACCATCCTCAAACTCCTTATCCCCAAAAGGCCGGTAACGCACTTGTTACAAGTGGTTACCTCTGGTGTTCCAGGTGTCCATGGGTGACGCCGATTGCTTACCATCAGGTGATCCGTCTACTCGTTTACCGGCTTATGCCATAAAAAAAGTAGATTTTATTCATAAATTTTCTGTATTTTATCTGGTAAGTGCGAATGCAGTATGACCAACAAGCTGTTTAATTACGTCATCGCTTTAGGGAAGTCCTCCTGCTCGGAAACGATGACGCAGATAAACAGTTTCCCTATATAATCCGCAATGAGCGTGCACTACCTCTGGCTTTACATATGTAGGTACTTACGTATATAGGTTCCAATAAAATCAGTTATACATAAAACATATTTTTATGTTAAATGATTGTAATGAGCTCTATTCCACTAATCAAGCCCTTTTTTGATATCCATAATAGAGGTAGTGTTAATCATAAAAAAAATGTTTATAATATTGTATGGTCATCAAGATTACAAGTGCACGCACCAAATATCAGGTTAATCTGTTGTTAGAAAGGGTGATAAACTCCAAACATTTAACCTTAACAAACAAACGGGTCAAGCTAAATAAAACCGTTTGAAAATGAGGTAAAATCCTTTTCTTTAAAATGATAGCTGACAGATTATAGATTTTTATAATAACTATCGTGAGACATACTAAATTAAGTAAAATCGCGAGTTACTCACGTGAATACACGTGCGACGTCGCGCAGCTCAGTGAGCTCGTCGCCGCGACCGCGCACGCTGCTCATGAGGAAGAACCCCTCTGTGGTTCGAAACTAGTAGAGCTTTTCTCAGTATATTCAGGTGAGTAACCCGCGATTTTACTTAATTTAGATTATAGATTATTGCGACTGGTCGTAAAAAGATGTTAGCGTTGCATCAACGTCAATAAAAATATCGTACGTATCATAAGGAAATAGGAAAAACAAGCAACAAGTTGCAAATTGTATGTCGACATTGTTATCAGAAGGTCCTTGCAATTAATATTGTGATTAGAAAAATATAAGCCACGTGTATGATAAATATAGGCACTATCTAGGTCTGCTAATCCCCGAAGAGGTCGGAAGTGAGGCATAGATTAAAAATGTAAAATTCACTGTTTAAGGATACGCAGAAGACGGATTACCTGATAGTAAGCAATCACTGCTTCGTTGGCTGAGTGGTCGCAAAGGCGACTGCCAGGCAGGGGGTCTCGGGTTCGATTCCCAGTTCGAGCAAAGTATTACTGGCTTTTTAAAAAATTCTCAGTAGTACCACGGAGTCTGGAATCGTGCCCGGTATATGGCAATAGGCTCACCCCCTATTACACACTCATAACACAAAATAGTGAAAAGTGGGTGTTACATTGGACAGTGGTATTCAGTGCCGTAAATGTGCATCTCTGCATACCCTTTCGGGGATAAAAGGCGTGATGTTATGTAAGCATTCAGCGCCGCAACTCCAGAGAAGTTACAAGTGAGTTACAGATCTTATGAGTGGGTGAGGATTGGAGTTTGTTCCAAGTATGTTGTGTATCACATGTAATAAGGTGATCTTAGATATGGTAACACACATTACATTAAGAATTTTGGATATCTAGAAATACTTGGCCCAATTTTAGAATCGGTGCCCGAAACCCCTTACTTAGCAGTCGGAATTATAATCAATAAACGAGGCAATCGATTAGAAGAAAATTTTTGTTAACTGGAAATTGGACTGACGTGATTGGTGGATTGAACGTACCTAATTACAAGAAAAATATGTATGTCAATTGGCAATTTATTGCTTTCACATTAACATAACATAACATCACGCCTTTTATCCCCGAAGGGATAGGCAGAGGTGCACATTATGCCACTGTACAATGTAACACCCACTTTTCACTATTTGTCATGAGTCCCATGTAATAGGGGGTGAGCCTATTGCCATATACCGGGCACAATTCCAGACTCCGTGCTACTACTGAGATTTTTTTAAAACCCATTAATACTTTGCTCGACCCGGGAATCGAACCCGAGACCCTTTGCCCGACAGTCGCACTTGCGACCACTCGGCCAACGAGGCAGTCTTTTATTGTTATTTTAGTTATTGCTCTCAGTAGGCTTTAAATGAAGGTATCATTTCAAACAAATTATTAAATTACTACGAAAAATCGATTGTATTGTTTAAATGATATTATTTTTTGTGTCGAGGTAGGTACCAGGAATTAATAATGTACCGTAGAAATCCTGGGATGTGTTGTCCGTGCATAGTACTATACATTCTATTTATTAACAGCCACGATATTATTCTGTCTAAGTGTTTAACATTCCCAGTATAATCTGTATGTTTTATCTATTTATTTTAAGTTTCCAGTTTTTTCCAGAACACGTAAAACCAAGTACCCAGCTATTATGTGTGTGACCTCCTAAACACGCGCAATAATATTTTCTGCTCATCATTACAAACAAATATTTTAACAACAATATTGACAATAACATCAGGAAACCGTCACGTGGTTCTTGGCGAATCCATTATAACGCTATGATAATAATTCATTGACTTTAATCGTGTGAGAGAGCAATCTGCGCAATACATAGTGTAATTAATACTCTACGTAACGAACCAACTACCCGTGTGTACCCTGTCTATGTAAATAATAACGTAAACAAGTCGCGTAGTATTATATAACACAACACTAGATAATGAGAAACACATTATTTAAAACTCAATAAAACTGATATAAGACTACGTAAAACAATAAATGATGCTGATGTTCCAATTAATTTGTTTAAAATGTTTATCAAATGACACGAACGCCACATTAGCAAGCCCTCCGTCGATGACGTCACATCTGCTTACTTTACTCAGCCGTCCAGAGTCACGTCCAATATAACATGTACGTAAAATGCAAGTGATAATAAGGAAGCATTTGCGCATTACATTACGAGTCGTATACTTACTCTTTGTATGATATAGCTTCCACGTGCCGTCCTTCGATATAGTCGCGATGTGTGACGTGTCCACGTCGAAGGCGACGTCGTAGACGCCCGAAGAGTGGCCGGTTAGCTCGAACGCCTTTGTCACTTGTTTGAACTCCCCAGTCTTTGTGAAGCACACCTCCATCACTTTGACGTCGGGCGCGAAGCCCGTCGCGACGACAAAGCGGCCGCAAGGTGAAACTTTGGCAGTGTGTGTCGTCATCAGGTACGTGTCGTGCCGCTCCAGCTGCTGCCCCTTCAGGTCCCAAATCACCATATCGTTGTTAGACGAGCACGACATCATGAACTTGCCATTGCTGGATATGTCGAAACCAACTGCATCAGTCTCATGAACCTACGAACATAAAACATCCGAATATATATTTTGGCGCACAACGAAGCTGTAGACTATGTTGTTACAACCATAAAGAGGTCGCTGTTACTGTTAAGCAAACGAGAAGTGATAAGAGGTAATACCAAACATGGATGTAAATCTAATATTTAACCAACGGATTACAATAGATAAGGTGATATACCATAATGAGGTTGATACCTTGTAGCAGTAATGCGAAGTGAATAGGTTAATACGGAACTAGCATAATGTTGAATATTCAGCGTAGTCCTGACGCCTCGCGCATCATGTTTTATGTAGGCAATATACATGTGCGTGCGGAAAACGAACCAGAGAACCTTCCTGCGGCTAAAAATAATATTATTCGAGGCTGCGCGTGCGTCGATCCGAACGGAGCCGTGGCTATACTTAAGCAATACAGCCAATACAATCGGCCACACAATACGCGAACCATAAATATTGTAGTAAGCAAGCCATTATAGTCATTACTGCCTTCGCTTAAAGATAGCATAAATGTTTAACAGATGGCGTAAACGCTTTGATCAGTGTACCGCCGACATCAAAGTGCCATTGTTCCGGTGGAAGGTCTTTTTTAGCCTTCCACCCGTCCAAGTATAGCGTGTACTTGTTTAAGGCTGATGTAAACTGTTGTGCAGATGAGACATAGTTTTTTGGGTACCGACATGAATGATTTGGGCCCCAGTGTCATGACCTGTATGACGCAAGCTTATGTCATATTTCAATAAGCTATGTACTGGGATTTTTACTTGAATGTTATTAATTGCCCAGTAACTGTATTTATAACTTCATTATCACACATGTAAAAACCAATTTAAAGACTTTTAATTTCATAATAACATGTTTTTCTTTCTGTTTTCGGAGATAAGTCTATGATTGTCGGATACATTTGTTTTGATAATGACTAATCAAATAAATGACGACTTGTACAGTCTCGTAGCCTGACACACCAGCTGTGTGGTTTATCAATCCATCCAATGGTCGAATATTTCTGATATAACATTAAATTTTAGAGACTCTTATCAGATAAATCTACAGCTGAATACCCTATTTGGCCTTTTAAGCGAATAATATTATTGTCTGGAACACAATAACAAAGAAAAACGTTATTGAGAGCAACACTTGCATAAATGGCAGGCACCATGTCAACCCGCCAACTAGTGCGACATTTCATCGACCCCGATATTTGTGTAAATGTTATTACCAACTAAAATCAATAGAGTAAAGTGAGTAATACCTTTTATTACATTATACTATAAATAAGTACTTCGTATCAATATTTAAGTACATAATATCTACATCTACACACTTATAAAATTACTAATCTCTGTTCTTCCTTAATAGTAGTCCTCATTTTATAAGTGTGATTGCGCGTGTTCTAGATCACATATCAATATACGGATTCGATTTAATCTTTATTTAATTCATAGCCAGCCGCCTAATCAAACCTAGTTTTGTATAACTAGTCAACTAGGCGTTTCCATCCTTCCATTTTGTTGGTTTATTTTGCTTATTAAAACAACGTTAGCAGTTACCAAAATGAACATCTGTTAACTGTATGAGCTTGTGACCTATTTAAATGTTTGAATAGCACACCGCATTTAGAAAAGAGTTTCTATTTAAACATGCTCAGTGGAGACACTTTACAGAAAACAAGTTCATGATATGAGTGCGTTTTCTTTCGCTGTTTCTATAATGATGGGAATTATTGCAGCATTGAGACAGTGCAGAGAACATTCGAGAGTCGGTTCATGCACCACAATTAGCGAAATCTTGTGATTGTATCACCGCTAACAATAGCAAACATATAAAAAAACGAGCCGTGTAAGATATATAACGACCAGATTTTCATACAGATGCAGACTTCAGACGAAACAATAGTCATTTCATATTTTATATATATTTTTGCGGAGGTTCATTGCCGAGTCGCAAGGTTGTTCAATTTTATACAAAATGTCGAAACGCATCTGCGGGCGTGACTGACATTGTGCCTCCTACTGCTTTTGAGAATCCAACTTTTTATTTATAAGCGGAAGATAAAATATTCACTAAAGCCGATTTATATTCTGTACGGTGTAATTGGTTATGTAAATTCCTTAATATGCGTTGCAACTTGAATTATGTTTAAGAACTATTAAGACCAGATAAATCACGTTCGAGTATTGTGTATATTCTGATAACTGTGAGCTACGTCTGTTGTGTGATTAGAGCTTACCTATACGGAAGGTATACGTGATAGTCATATAGGTCCTCTACAATACTACGTAGTCGTTATAGATAGCAGAAAATAATGTGCCCTTTGTATATTAATTGTCTATTAAATCATTACATAACATTTAAAATAGCGTCTCATTAAAAGATTTCGCTCGCGAAAGAAAAAAAATGGCTAAGAATGACTTTAATTGACATTTAATCGATACAAAAATTGTTAGCTATTATATTAACTATAAACATAGCATCACCATAAACACAAAATTAAAAAAGAAATGTGCGACGAAGATCTTTGTTCGTTACACAAAGAACATAGATGAGTGATAAATCGTACGTGATATTGTCTACAATCAACCATTAAACTGTACACAAAGCACGTAACATTCAATATAATCTCATTTCCATCAGATATTATGACGTAACATTTCATAATGAACCTTGTGAAATCCAACATTGCGTTTAAAAAAACTTTGTTTCGTCACACCATTGAATTCCAAATAATACAGTTTTGAACTGCGTCATTCCTGGCGGGTTTACTGAGGAGCTGTACCGGTCCCCTTACGACTTAATAGCTCTGTAAAAATTCCTTTGTGGTGAAATGTACCTTTCCCTTTAGTCCTTCAAGAAAAGTAGCAATTTAAGGATGAAATATTCGAAATTCATTCGTTTAAAAATTCGCTTTATTCAACTGCAATTACCCTCAGGTGCATTATTCGCAAGTACACAGCATGTTGTCTTCAATAGCAAAGAATGACAATGGAATGCATTTTTCTTTATTTTAGAATGAGTAATATAATAAATAATATGCAAATAAACATTATTTTATTGTGTTTCTATTAAACTGAGACGATATTAAATGAATATAAAAAGGAACAATGGATATATCACTTGGTAGCACCTTCAGTATGTTATTGTTAACGCAGAGAATCTATAATCGCTTGATAAATGAAATGATAGCGTAGCTTGTTTACGAGTATTGCAAATGTATTAATTACTTATTGCACACGTAACACGTGTGCCTCATCCCCGGCTGTGGTCTCGATCTAATTATAGCTTCCCATTTCTTCCCGTGGGCGTCGTAACTGGAGATTAAGGTATTATTCCGGGCGGATGGGTCGTAGATACTTACTAAATCAAATCATGTTGCGAAAATCCGCTGTAAAGGGTAATGGAGGTACTAATTTGCCTATCCAAATCAATTAAATGGCCATGATGTGGAGTGCCTTTTAAACAAAGTGGATTGTGGGAGCGTGGGTGTGGCTCATGTATACAGTAGACAGGCACAGCAGTAAACGAGCACTAACGTGCTAATTTAGGTACTCATTGCAAATGAACATTACACTCGTGCTACTACAAACAATCGGAATTCCGTGGTCCATGAAAACAATCAATCGTTCCCGAGTATGTAATTCATTTCCACTACGCTAAATTGAAGGACTGTTCGCTCGTTCGTTTCAGTCAAAATTAATGAACACCAGTGCAGCGAATGTGAAATTTTACCAGGCATAATAATTAGTGGGTGTGTTCAGTTCATACAAATAGGTATGTAGGCCAATATCGTTGTAGGGGCTACGATGATTAACCATCAAGTACAATGCTTCAGCTTATCACTAACCGTGCGACTCGTGACTCATACGCTGGAAATAAACTTGGGAAACATTTGTTATGTATGTACCCATAACAAGGAACTAACTACAAGGTTGATTGTGTTTTTGTGTCTTCATTATCTGTTTTGTGACTTGCAAAGTCATTAGGGACCCTCATGATGCCTAAGTGCCGCCCGGCTGAATGTCACGGGCAATTTTTATTTAGTTCTGGTAGCTTGATAGCTTCCACTATAAAATAAAATAATAAAACCTCCTTGTTTTTATGAAACAATTAGCTCTACGTCATTTGTATGAAACAAAACGTTTCGAAGAGACCTTTCAAGTAGCGTTACGTAAATTTTTTCAAAGAGAAACTGCCCCGGAGTTTCACAATAAGGATTGAATGTTTATGTTGAAATATTTTTCGGGGAAAGCTAAAGTTTCACGTCACGCATTGAGGTTTGATGCGCGGAGTTCGGTCACGTTACAACTTGAACACAAGAAATAATTAGAAGCTCGTAACAGAACATGGCGTCAGATTTTCCCTGTAAAGTTTACCTCATGTAAAAGTAGCTTTACTTCATTCCTCCATTTGCAACTGTAAATTCAGGAAATCCCTATAACACTATCGGGCCGGTATAGGAAATCAATTTCGAAACAAAGCTTTACACACGTCAAAGGACCAAAATAGAGACAGAAAATAGATAGCTCCACAACATACATACATAAAGGAAAACGTGTATCAGAACCACACTACCAATTCACTACAAAGAAAAATTTATTTCTCTATCAAAACAAGTGGTTTTATTTGCATTGATGATACACTAACAAGCAATTAATAGAAGCAGGCCCTCAATTCGTACTATAACACGGAACAACATCAAGACCTGCATTCAACCTCAAACAGCAATTAAAATACGCGGTTCATAATTATAGTGATAAATTAATTACATAATAACACTTTAATTGCTACCAAAGATAGTTTCCACTCTCGTAGCTCTTCATTACGTCACGGTAACGGCTCTTCTGAATGACGTCAACGGTCGCTTAAAATAGGGTAGTATTGTATACAACCTTTCAAAGCTTCGTCAAAACATGGACGGGAAATACGACACAACTTATTGGTATATTTCTTGATTCCATAATAAACATTTCTATTCCGGTTTCGCTGATGAAATGTTATGCAAA